GGAATTCTCTTCTCTCTCTCTCTCTCTCTCTCTCTCTCTCTCTCTCTCTCTCTCTCTCTCTCTCTCTTTCTTTCTCTCTCTCTCTGTCTGTCTGTATCTGCCGAGGCACCTGGTGATCATGGGCCTCTATGAGGCTGCTTTTAAACAGCCGAGTACGAAAAGAGGGAGAGAACCCACGATGATTATTTATGCTAGTTATATAGTATGTACTATGTATATATTATGTACTCGGCTTGTCTTGTTTTGTCTGTCTCTCGTATGCTGACATTGCCTCTTTTTTTCTTCTGGGCTATATCTTATTGGAGACCCCTTTTTCCCTTTTGACTTCTTTTGTCGATAAGGAGCGCCTCAGTGCCACGCAGGAGCCTTTTTTTTTTTTTTTTTTTTTTTTTTTTTTTTGGCTGTTGCTGTAATTATATTATATGACGCCAGAGACCGCGATGTACCGTGTATAATTGCAATCACTCCGACCAAGGCTCGCAGTATTCGCCCAGACGGGGCAGGGAGGTTTCAGAAAACCAAGCGAGATAATCGACATCCTTTGGCGAACCGGCCTCTTTGGCAGCGGTCTCATCGGTTCCCATAGAAATAAAAGCACGGGCGCGTCTGTTTTCCAGTGGCTGAAGGACCAAGTAAACCATGCCTGGCTGGCTGACCTGGATCTTTGCCCTTAGGAACCCATACCCGCTCTCGTCATGGGCCTCCTCCCTGAAAGGCTGCCACACCGTGCTGCCTTCGGACGGATATTCAATGGCAGTGTATCCTCGGGGCACTCTGGGTCCCTTAGCCACCTGCGAGTCGCCGACGTTGCGGTCGCTGTCGTTTTGGTAGTCGTCTGGGATGATGAGGTTCTGACCTATCGCCCACAGCGATGGACGGTAGTCAAGTTGTGCGGTTGCGTTGGGGATCCCGACGCCGACGGTCAGCGGTGCGGTCGTGTTGGTGATGTTGACTTTAGTCCAGACGGCAACGGACGGGCAGTCAAAGTAAGTCAGGTAGACGCGTGCAATGGTCGTGTCCGGAAACTCCCATGCGTTCGCGATGGACGTGTGTGTCCCGTCATCCACGTGTGGGCGGTGGGCCAGTGCGCCCATGATGAAACATGGCACAAGACAGGCCAAGGCCTGAAGGCTGCGACTGAGGTGTGTCATTTTTGCTTTGATCGCGTGATAAGATTTGATTAAATGGGCTTATGCCTATTAAGCTTCAAACAAGACAGGCCGAGCTTTCTGCAGGGGTAGTGATGGTGGATCAATTCAGGAGAAATTTCCCCGGCCTATAAGTACCTGTGGCGATTCATCTGATAAAGTGAGGACCTTGAGTTGAGAGAATCTTCTTTGCTCTCAATCATGGTTCTAAAATGTTGCATGTCGCCGGTGGCGGCTCTTCCAAGACCAAAATGTACGAAAAGAGAAGATGTATTTCTGCAATCGCTCGAACTGAGACTGCTGCGATTGGGTCAGAAGCAGCAAGAGGCTGCTAATTGTAAGGTCCTCAGAAGGCGATCGATTGATAGTTCCGATATCGTAGCGTGACCAACTCGATTTGTGCCTAGAGCCGCCTTGGTTCAAGTAGTGGAACAAAAGCCCAAGCGAGGAATGAGGTTCGAGATCCCGAAGACGGCAGACAGGACACTGGCCGAGAGGCAGAGCTGAGGGTGGTTCCGGGGCGTCACAGCCTGATGGATTCGAGTTCAAATGACGGCATCACGTGAAAGATCCGAGTCACGTGACAAGTCGTTGTCGACGGTCTTGGCATCGAATCACACGTCCCGGTCCCTTCCATTTCTCGTGCTAACTTCTTTTGGCAACTCACCTCCGTCCTGCATCAAGAACACTCGCGCATACAATGACCAGAAGACTCGTGAGATACGTTGATTCCGTTGCCGTTGAAACTCCCGGGATACCTCGCATGGTCAGACACCCTGTATCCTCTTAAGTCGCTTGACGGGCCAATGGGAGGGCAAAAGCCAGATGACACCAATCTTCCATCCATGTCTTAAGGTCCTCAATCCACTCAAAGGCAGACGATTAGCAATGTGCAGCGGCCTCACCAACATTGACTGGCACTGGCCTGCATCCAGACCCGTAGAAGTGCCCCAGCGTACCGTACTGTGCAAAGTAGAATGAAAATTTCTTCCTGACTATCGTCTTCAAGTCGTGTCTTTAAGTTCTTCTCTGATCGTTGGCTGTTCTTTCCATCTCTCGCACGCTTGAACAAAAGAATGGCAGTGAAGACTCGCAACATGGCCAAGGGAACCATTGACCGACAGCCCATCCCAGTTACCCTCCTGTCAGGGTTTCTGGGAAGTGGGAAGACCACCCTTCTTAGACATATCCTGACCTCGGACCAGCATTCCCTTCGTATAGCCGTCATCGTCAACGACATGGCGGCCCTAAACATCGATGTCTCCTTGATCAAGAGACACGTAGTCTCCCAGACTCAAGAACGTCTGATCCAGATGGAGAACGGCTGCATCTGCTGTACTCTGCGAGGCGATCTTCTTGAGGAGCTGGCAAGGCTGGCCAAGGATGGAAACTGTGATTACATCCTCATTGAGAGCACAGGCATTAGTGAGCCCATGCAGGTCGCCGAGACCTTCACCGAGGAGTTTGCTGCGGCCATGATCGAAGCCGCCAAAGATGGAAATCTTGCTGAACAAGAGCAGGATGAAAAGGTTCTGAGAGAGATGTAAGCTCGCCCAATAACAGCTAAGAGGGACCAAAGACACTGACATGATCGCAGCGCGGAGTTGGGAGGCTTGCACAAGATTGTCAAACTCGACACCCTGATCACCGTGATTGACGCATTCAATTTCTTCCACAACTTCTCCACCACAGACTTCATCACGGAACGATGGGGCAAGGAGAACGTGGACCCCGAGGACGAGCGTACGGTGACTGACCTGATGGTCGACCAAATGTGGGTGATGCCGTTGTTGTGTGACATTGACTCGGCTAACGCTTGATAAAGTGAGTTCGCAAACTCCATTATCCTCAACAAGATCGACAGCGTGGACGAGGAGACGAGAAAACGAATCCACGCCATTGTCAAACAATTGAACCCATCGGCCAGGCTTTTCGAGGCCAATTATGGCAAGGTCGATGTCAAGGAAGTGATCGACACCAAGAGCTTTTCTTTCGAGAAAGCTGCCACGGGCATGGGCTGGCTTCGGAGCTTGCACGACTTGGCCAAGCGCGAGATCAACGGACAGATCAAGATTGCACCCAAGCCCGAGACAGAAGAGTGAGTGTTTCTTAGCCGTTAGGCCATACCTGCTGTGCTGCAAATTACTCACCTCCACACGCAGGTATGGTATCTCCAGCTTCGTGTACCGCGCCAGGAGACCATTCAACCCCAAGCGACTATATAAGCTTATCCATGACAAGTTCGTCTTGATGGAAGGTCAAATCCAAGACGAGGAAGACGGAGATGACAAAGATGACGAGGAAGAGGAGGAAGAAGAGGAGGAAAATGAGGGCAGTGACGATGAAAACCCTTCACAAGAAGGTAGCGACGAATGGGAAGACGAGAGTGAGTCGGATGTCGAAATGGAAGATGAAGATGAAGAAAACGACTTCTCCAAAGCAATGGATCCAAAGGTAAGTCAGCAGCAATCCCTTCAAAACTCACCGTATGCTAATTGAGCTCCAACCGTAGTTTGTAGCAGCAAACAAAAACAAGGATCCTGTGTTCAAGGGTCTGCTCCGGTCCAAAGGGTTCTTCTGGCTTGCGACCCGGCCGAATCTCCACGGGGAATGGAGCCAGGCTGGCACCATGCTTACCCTGCAGGGCGGCGGGCCTTGGTTCTGCACCATCGATGACGGTATGAGGCGGTGTACGTTCTTGGAAATCATGGTTACTGACAGTGTTACCAGCTGACTGGCCAGAGGGTGCTGAGACACGAAAGAGCATCCTTGCCGACTTTTCGGGACCCTGGGGCGACCGGCGACAAGAACTGGTTTTCATCGGGGAGAAACTGGACCATGAGGGCCTCACCAAGTTGTTTGACCAGTGCCTGCTGAACGATAAAGAGATGAAAAAGTGGGAACGCATCATGAAGTCGAGCAAAGACATGGAAGTGGTCCACGACAAGCTGGCCAAGGTTTTCGAAGGTATGCGACAGCTGACTTACGGAAGGTCGTGAAATCATACTGACTTTTCTTGATAGATGGATTCGAGGACTGGCCCGAGTTGGTTCCCGATGACGAAGACCATGACCACGCTGGTCATTCCCACAGGCACTGAGCGATAACAGTCAGGAAAGTCCAGTCAAATCTTGAGTCCGTCGAAATGAGCTGCCGCACGCACTATCCGGAGACCACAGCCCATCGGCGCCCCGGAGGTCAAATGATCTCGTGTTACAGGACAGGGTGGAGAGGATCGGGTGTTGAGAGTTTGGCGGAATGTGCAGCTTGCGTGTACCAGAAGTCCAGAGTTGAGTGTCAAGTGCTCAAGGCAACACGCATGCTGAGAGACATGGCCGCGGTGCACCGTGAGCAAGCTGTTGAGCCCGACCAGCTTCCCCCATCCAGGACTCGTTCTTGCCGCCAACCATCCGTGTCTTACCGCCGACCTGTCTCAGCTGACAGGTCGAGGCAGCCAAAGGGGTCGCAGCAGGAACTTTAGGGAGCTCCTATACCCAACCAGCCTACCAATTGATGCTTTGCAGGGGATGAAGATATGCACCGAGAGATGAGATAGAAAAGCAATGAAAAAAGTTTGGCTTTTTGTGATAGTACGTTATGTCGTGAGAGTCTGCTGAATGACTTGGCTGGCTCCTGCCCCGCCGATTGGGCCTGTTGTCACGTATCGTGTCAATTGACATGGAGTACAGAGCCACTCGTATCTAGGAGCGAAAGGGATTGGTGGGCTATGTCCAAGTGCGGTCCCGATATCGCTGTAAATTCAGCTCAGAAGAAAGCTCCTTGGAGGCAGAAATGGTGATACGGAATTGGAATCGGAGGCTTCATAGTTCAACGTAGTTTCTGGCTCCTCGGATCATTACCTTGCGGGGTAGAGATGCTGATTCCTGGACACTGTTCTCATGGATGAAGTGTTGAGAATTGCCAACGTCCAAATTGACGAGACTCTGGCTGTGCTGGCAGCTTGCGGCACGGCGGAATAATTCTCCACGAACGATACTAGTTCAGGATAGGGACACATGGTTGCCGCTCTATCCTTACGCTAAGCCATTCTCGATGGCATCTACAAGCAGCGGCCAATATCCGTATTTCAGGAACATATCACAACGGACAGTTCAAAGTTGCAAAGTGGTCACACCGAAGCCTCGCAAGACTCCCGGTCTGTACTAGTGGCTGGGCCCGTTCGATGTTCGACTGTATTCGACTTCAGTAGACCTCTCCGTGCTCTGCAGCCATCATCCTCACACGGCACGCGAGTTTGTCATACAACCTGTTCATGCAAAAGCCGTGGGTTTGTTTCCCGTTTGTGTACGTTTGAATCCCCGATTGTGATACGATTGCGGCCAGCAGAGGCGCGAGAACAAATGATCACGATATTGATCAGTCCATCGACGGGCGGAAGAAGACGTCGTCGGGACGGTGCAGTCTCTGGCTGACCTATCCACCACACGCAGTCGCGCCCATAGCGAAGCTGGCGCCAGCTGCAATGGTACACCACGTATCTGCATGGGCACCGCTGCCATCTCACATCGATTCCTCGGGTCGAAGGCCTCGTGGATCCTGCTGCCTCTCTTATTACGTTCCACTGAAGTAACGATCCTTTCTTGTACTCCTATAAATTGCCCGTTATATTTGTGCAGGCAAACATGACTGCGCTGGCTGGACGAACATGCGGGAAGCAACATTCGATCGACACACATCTCCCTTCACCTATAACCTCTCCCATCAGAGTCGATGAAGAGGGTGGTGGTCGGTGCCCTGGATCTGCTTCCGCCCGTGTGTGTATTTGTCGCGGCAGTGCCTGGGCCCGTTCGCCAGCATCGTCGTCCCGGTGTGCTTGATCTGGATCAAAGATGCCAAAAGAGTTGCACAGCCCTGACCGTGTTAGGCGGCACATGTTACCTCTGAATATGGCATGAAGAAAACACTCTTGATGCGATGATGCATTTGCTCGATATTCCCCGCTACACGAGGCTCGTGCGTTCTGCGGGGATATCGCACACATCCATTTATCGAAGCACAAACCTTCTGTGATTTTTAGCAACTTTTCCGGATAACAGCACAGACTTTCACTGTCCGCTGGATCTACGTGCTAGCATCTTATAGTGATCCTGTCATACGTCGATCATCAAGTCTGCAGACTTCCACATCGGGCGCAGAAAGCGAGGTTCCTGTGCTGCGTCAGATTGTGTGACTCATTCCCCTGCCATTTGCAAGGACTCCTCGCTGTGCTGAGTGATCACAAGAAATGCTCCGATACCAGGCCATCACACTTGGTTCAGACGAAATACGTGATACTTTGGCTGAATTCTTGTAGCCACACTAACCTGTGTCGAGTCTGTCGACCGTCCGCAAAAAGGATGCTGAATGTACTGAGGGCCCATGCGCTGCGATTGACGTACTGTCTGTACCCGCAAGACGTCAACATATCACCATTCACCATGCGTATTCGCCATGTCGGTTGCGCACGGACAAAAGCAGTTGCCCTCGACTCTCGAACGTCACTTCACCTTCCAGACCTCGTGGACGAAGAAAGTCCAATGGCATGCAGCTGTCACAGAAAGTACTGAGACCGGAGAATTCGGCTTCGGTGCGTTAAGCGAGAGATGGCGTGCATTATTACATGCGCACTCTTTCTATGATGGGTAACGGTATCGAGTTCTTGCAGGGGTCAGGGTCTTTCCCATCCACTTTGGCCTTCAATATCGCCGACGCTTGGTCCCTTTCCTTGACGATTGTGTCAATACGACGCCATAATCGACGGCCACCAATAAAGTCTTCGCCTCACTTGTGCAACTACAGGCACCTCAGGCAAGGCAGTCTACCGCTGCAGGCGTATCAGTGGAGCGCTGGTACCCCTCCGCAATGAATGGCTGGAAACGAGGACAAATCGTCCGCGTCGACGTAAGCCCTTGAGACGTCCATTGTTATGGATGACCTGACTTCATCATGAACGGCCCTGCTGCAATAGGCTCTCCGACAGTATAAGTACCCTTTCAGCAGGCACTTTGCCCGCAGCCTCTATCACGAGGTCTGGATTGAGACGACGTCCCCTCCTGCTTGAGCCGACTACACTGATATCAGCACATCATGGCGGTCAAACCTCATCTTCGCTTCGGCCATACCGGGGCCATGATGGGCTTTCTACCAGAGGTCCACAGAAACAACCTGACTGCCTTCATTTCGGAGCTTGCAGGCACGTTCCTGTTTCTCTTCTTCGCTTTCGCAATCGCCCAGGTTGCACATACTCCACCACCTGATGATCCTAGCGCACCGCCCAATATTCTGGTTATTTTCTTCATTGCCCTTGGATTCGGATGTTCGGTCGCTGTCAACGTATGGTTGTTCTACCGGGTCAGCGGAGGAATGTTCAACCCTGCCGTAAGTGCTGGTTCGAGTAGCTGTCCTAGGAAGCGTGCTGATATAGTACCCACCCAGGTTACTCTCACCCTCTGTCTCATTGGTGCTGTACCAATTAGTCGCGGCTGTGTTGTCATTGTTGCGCAAATAGTGGGCGGGATTGCAGCGGCCGGTGCTGTCTCGGCTACCCTGCCTGGGCCTATGGCTGTCAACGTCCGACTCGGCGGTGGCTGTTCCATCACCCGGGGGCTCTTCATTGAGATGTTTACCACATTGCAGCTCGTCTTTGCAGTCGTCATGCTGGCAGCAGTCAAGCACAAGGCAACTTTCCTCGCACCCATTGGAATTGGGCTTGCCCTTTTCATTGGACACATGCTCAGTAAGATCCAGACAAGTGCATCATTCGATGATCTCTTACTGACTCCGCCCTCAAGGCATTTATTATACCGGCGCCGGTATCAACCCAGCTCGAGCGTTCGGTCCCGATGTCATCCTCCGCCAGTTTCCAGGATATCATTGGATTTATTGGGTCGGACCAGTGATGGGGTCTGTCATTGCGGCAGCCTTCTTTTACCTTCTTGAAGCCCTGGACTGGCGGACCGCAAACCCAGGGCAAGACTTTGACGATCTGGAGGTGCAGATGGTGACTCCCAACAAGAAGACGGCCAGGCCCAATGTTGCACACGCGCCCCCACCACAGAACAATCCATACACCCCGGAGAAGTCGTCATACGAGAAAGAAACGGTGGCGCCGTTATCAAACCCCAGCACTCTGAACGGGTAGGACTTCATTTTCCACGAAAGGTGCTCAGCCCTGCTTCCATGCATCAGAGTGGAATATTTTTGGCGGCAACGACCGTCGCCGGCTCTTTCTCGGACATCTCACTTGATGGTGCTGGTTGTTCATGCTTGGCCAGGTGCCAGGAAGACTTCTGTATTCACCTTATAAAACAACAATCTCGATTTCCTTCTTCCCTTGTGTTAATTTAGCTGCTGTTCTAGGGCCCGAAAGCGAGTGAGACCGTTGTGGGGAGGGGAGTTTTGGGGGAAGGAGAATCTGAGTAGGCTTGCGGCTCCTAATACATTCAAGTTATGGTCCCTACCTCAACCAATAGATCACTATCCTCAGCCGCAGAACCTGACTTCACCGAGAATAAACTTCCATTTCGAGAGCTGAGCGATGACCAAGGCTGTGGCAGCTTGAGGGTGCAACTCATTTGCGTGACACGATTCATTCACCAAACACCTTTAGTACAGGTGCGGGCGCTCGCAGGCACTCCAAGCTTGCTTTTCAGTGTGAGCAAGGATGCTGCTCAGTGCATGCATAGAGATAACGTATTTTTAGGTCCATTTAGGCTGGATGTCAATGACTGCCCAACGATGAACCGAAGCCGCCGTGTCTGGGGTGCCAAGATTTTGAGGTCGTGGGGTTGGAGTGACTGGAATCATACTTCATTGGTCGCGACGCGTGCCCGCGTGTACAACACCTCTGGGCAATCTTTCGTTAGTGTCACACTAGTACATAAGTAGAGTAGCGCGTAATCATTTCTCACTTTTCTCAGTTGGTACTAGCGTATTACACATTTCTTGCGCTTTAGTGTGGCAGTTGTTGTCAAGACAGGTACTGTACTGTCATTTTACTGATCCTGACCAAGCTGGCGCCCAATTCGGGGAAGTCTAGCGAGAGCGCACTAACGAAAGATACCCCCGGCGTCGTTGTACCTGCGGCCGTGAAAGGCGTCCTGCTGCCTGTGGTTGAGCTTACACACCTATGAACCCGAATGGAACCCAGCGTCTCGAAACATCTCATTGATGGATATGCATGCACGCAAATCGTATAACACGGCCCTCCTTCAGGTTGACCGCCGACCTTTTGGGTCCCTAGAAAAGACCCTATGTCCGCCCTTCATCCCCCCCTCAAACGCCGCTATCAGGAGATTAGCGAAAGCCTGCACGCTCAGAAAAGACAGAGGCACAACCATTCTGATGACTCTTGGTTTCCACCGGCATTCTGGGACAACTTGTCGAGAATTGACTTGACAAAAGCCGCGCTGAGGGAGCTAGATCGAAGAAACAATCAAGTCACTCCGCAGTTCCCTTCATCTAACCGACGACGGTGCCATCCAGTCACTCGAGGAACGCTCGCCAGACCAGGGGAGAAAGCTTTTCCCACCCATTCTGCTAACGTCTGGCTCAGTCACTGTGGGAAGGAATCGCTGAAGGAGCTGAAGCGTTTCGCCAGAGTTGGCGGTCCAGATCTCTCAGACCTGAGAGGCGTAAGAACAATGTCTACCTCAGCATGTTTACCTATGGCTGACTGCTCGGCAGTTCCGACAGCTTGTTGATCCCTTCATCCAAGCTATGAACACGCGTCAGTCTATATCCCGTGGTCGTGGTCGTAAGCGCAGCGGCCTGCCCACACCGGAAGGTCAATCTGCCTCAAATACCACTTCGACTAAGAGCACTGGGCCTTACAATAGAAACTTTCAACAGCATCTTATCGATGGCGGTGTCTATCCTGACGGATATGAATATCCAGACGGTCGAGTTCCCGCCTTGCCTGCTAACTGGGGGGAGATTACCCAAAGATTAGCACAACGGAGGCGTTCTCTTTCGCCGTCCAGATTCAGAGAAGAAGACTTTCAAAAATTCAGACGTGCAAATTTGCATGCTTCGAAAGAGAATCAGATCATGGCAGCTGTCATCCCAACAATCGAAGGAAACATCAGCGACCGCAAATGCGTAGCGGGGGGAATCCCATTCACAAATCTCGACCATCTCACAGACGGCACCCTGGTGTCGGGCAATCCTGACCTCTACCATGGCGCACGGCCCGAACAGCTTGATCGGCGAGTTCGCGAGAGCTTGAGATACCTTGTTATTCCTTCAACGCAGGATGACCTTCCTGTAGCCCCCAACTTCTTCCTCGCGGTAAAAGGGCCGGAAGGCTCAGCTGCTGTCGCAGAAAGGCAGGCTCGCTATGATGGGGCATTGGGTGAGATGGGCATGCATAGCTTACAGTCATTTGGACAGGTGGCACCACGCTTCGACAATAACGCTCACACAATTACGTCAATATATCATGGTGGGCACCTCAAAATATATACCGTCCATGTTGCTCAGCCAACTGTACCTGGTCTTCGGCGTGAATTCTACATGCATCAGTTGAGATCGTTCTCTATGACTGATACCGCTGAAAGGTTCCGAGAAGGAGCCACGGCTTACAGAGAGCTCCGGGAATGGGCGAAGGAGACGAGAGATGAGGCAATCAGACAGGCGAACGAGAGGTCGATCGGCAATCAAGATTCCCTCGTGATTGTTGGGGCGGGTGATGAACAAGCATGCAGCTCGGGCACCAACCTTGCTCAAGACGAGTCCGACACCGTTATTCAACTCTCACAAACTACACCCGCTGGCGCTTCTACTGGCAACGTTGATACTCCGGACACGTCATCGACCGATCCCCTGCCAGGTCTCAAAACCTCTTCCAAACGCTCCAACCGCCATTCGAATGAAGATCCAGCATCCCAACGGAAACGACCTAACGTTGGTAACTCTGACAATGGATCCAGCTAGTCATTTGGTCCCGAAGCGAAGCACTCACCGTGACCCAATTTCAGGATGTTGAACCTTCCGTTGCCGACATCCCTCGCAGCCCCTTGTTTGATAGCAACCCAACGCAACAACTGCCGGTGAAATTGATGCGCAGTTGACAGGACTCTGGATCTGGAATGCTGAGAACATCCTGTGACCTCCACTCTCATCGCTATTTCTCTTTGACCATTTGCGTCCGCGCATCTTGCAAGTCCTTCGCATTGATTTTGAGTACCACCATACCATCCACCAAACCTCCCGTGCTGAGTCCCAATTTGCGGTTCTAATGGACTTATATCGACGAGATGTCTCATGGCCCTCTTACATCGACTGAAGGCCGACTTGGTCTCCTAAGCAACGAGGAGAGACTGAGTCTCGATGGCCTTGTCCGTGATAAGATGGAACATGTTGCGAGGGACTCGCTCGACGTACTATAGTGTGGACATTTTGGGTGGACCTCTGACGCCCTTCTGTGTTAATGTGGAGAGTCTGCCCCGAACACAATATGGAGTATACGTGATTGTACCCCGCGGGACTCGGGCCGAGATTGATATGACCATTATTAATATGAACAATTGTGATCGTGGTTCCCTCCCAGTCGGCCGGACAAGGCTGGCCCGGGCATTTGAGGGTTTGGGTATGCTCGCAAGGCTACCACGACCGCTGCAATAATGATGCTATGGACGAACAACGAGCAGCGATTCCTTTCAGTTGGCCAACAAACCCAATTGACTTGTGTAGCGGGTGAATGTAGAGGCGTGACATACAAATGCAGTGTCGCCGAGGTCCTCGAATTAATTGTTTCCCCGATTGGCCCAATGGCCAATGAGATTGTGGCTGATCAGGGCTGGGGGCGGGCATCTCCTCGGAATCACCTTCTCTGGCGCTGCGACGGAGGAACGCGACGATGGAGAGGAGCTGGGGTCGGTTCAAGTTGGCTCATCGAGATAGAATTGGACAATCGTTTCTGCGAAAAGAGCTACCAAAAAGGTTAGGATCAGAGACGCTGGTTCTGGGCACGGGCAATTTGTCATCTGAAATCCTACGCATTCACGCGGTTTGCTTCACTTGCCATTACAGATCCGACTTCTTTTCACCCATCCTCCATTCCCATTAGGAGCGTACTAGAACCAAGAATCCCAAAGACTCCAAATCAAAATGCCAGACCAAAAGAAAGCGCGTGTTCTGCTCGTCGGCAGCGGCGGCATCGGAACAATGACGGCGCTGAACCTCGAACGCGGCGGTCTCGCAACAGTCACAGCGGTCCTGAGATCAAACTACTCTGTTGTGCGCGAGAAGGGATTCAGCATCGACTCCATGGACCACGGACAATTTTCGAGCTGGCGCCCCACGGAGATTTTGAACGCCGTTCCCGACGTGATAGCGACCAAGACGCCACCATTCGACTACATTATCGTGACGACCAAGAACGTCCCCGACGTCCCACCTCCAGTGGTTGAACTGATCCGACCAGCCGTGACGCCAGGCCACTCTGTGATCGTGCTGATTCAGAACGGCCTCAACATCGAGAAACCGATCCTAGAGGCATTCCCCGAGAACATTTGTCTTTCGGGCGTGTCTTTGATGGGCGCGGACGAGTTGCAACCAGGCCACATCCTCGAGAACGATCCAGACAGACTGTTCGTGGGGCCCTTTTTCTCCTATGCTATCGACACGCAGAAACAGATTGCGGCCGCGCAGGACTTTGTGCGCATCTACTCTGCCTCTGGCAAGGTGCAGTGCAGCTACGATGCGAATGTCTTGTTTGTGAGATGGCGCAAGCTCATGTACAATGCTGTCTGGAACCCGATTTGTGCACTTACGGATCAGGATACGGGGCGGTTCAGGCTGTTTTCGGGTCCAGATGATGATACGGATCCGCATAGCCAGCTTAATTTGCTGGTTAGACCGGCTATGAATGAGATCAGAGCGGCGGCTAAGGCGGCTGCTGATGTCGATTTGCCGGAGTCGTTGGTGGAGACGATAATTACTTGTGATCCGATTGATATCTTTTGTGCGCCGAGTATGTTGCAGGATAGACGCAAGAATCGATATATTGAGCATGAGAATATCCTCGGGGAAGCTCTTAGAGAGGGTGAAAAGGCTGGTGTGGCTATGCCGACTATTCGTTCGCTGTATGGGTTGTGCAAGGCTATTCAGTGGCGGACTAAGGAGTTGAATGGCTTGGTTGATGTGCAGAAGTTGTTGGAGGAAAGGAACAAGAAGACTTCTTCTTAGAAAGGTAGTTTAGGACTAGACAGTTAGACAGATAAATGCAATGTGAGGACTCTCGTGCACGTATTGTGTTGGCGTCAGGACGACACTGCCATTATGTTGTTTGCTCACCACTGCATGCTCTTGGTGTATTCAGAGTGTCGGAAGGCTCAGCTGTGTGCACAGTATCAGGCGAGCGGACCATCCGTCTACGTATATTTGCTCAGGTGAACAGATATGAACTGCTCTCTCAGCTATGACATTTCCTTCCACCACACAAGAGAAGAGATCTGTTTGACAGTGTCATATATGTGAAAGAAAATGGAGCGCCATGTCACTTTATTCGCCGCCCATTGTGCCCCAAATTCTTCGGACGTTGTTATATCTAACGGCGCCGTAGAAGAGAGAACCACATGGCCGTGCGCCTGTCCCAGTGGATCGTCGTTTGCTGGGGTTCCCTCCATCCCCTGGTGCCTCCATGTCCATCTCTCCTGAGGCTTCTTGGCTCCAGAGTCCCGCCCCCAGCTCACCTTTATGCTTTATTATTGGGTCCGGCGTTGTCTCTGGCGAACCTCTCCTTGCCACTTTCAGCTGAATCTTCTCCAGGTTGGCTTTTGGCCGGGTCGGTACTCCAAGCACTGCAGGTGCAGGGCAAATGAGGTTGACGTCGACCTGGGGACTGAGATGAAGATTGAGACGGACTGGGAGAGGCGGCCGCCTGCAGTATAACCACTGCCACCAACAGCTTGCTGCTCTGTCTTTGTCTTTGGCCGGTTCGGTGTTGATTGCGTTGGTTGCGGCAACCCTCCCCTGGATGCAAAGTCTCAACACACGCATGCACTGCGCAATGCGAAACTCGGAGGGAGATGACCCCTTTCTCGCAACCAGTCAGTAGGCAGGCGCGGGATGGAATTGAGAGAGGTGGTGGTCCTTAAATACATGAATGCGTGAATGCGTCGCCATTCTGAGAGAGGTCCCTATAGTGTCCTGTAAATTCAAGGGACAGTACGAGTTGGGCATCCGTTTTTGAGTTAGAGTGATCTACGTCGGCAGCCAACTCACCTCTAAGCGTTAACACAACTGATCCAGTTCTTTTACTGGCGCAGAATCAGACAATGGGCGTTGACTCCGGTAACCCTCTCGCCGCATCCTGAGATGCAATCCGCTCGACCTTTGTTTCTGGTCGAGGTGACGTGTTCGCGGGAGGCTCAGCAGGGAGAGAGGCAAAGCAAGGGTTGGGGCTGGCGATCTCGGATCGGTCTCACCGAGTTCGAAGTGATGACTGTCTCAAAGAAGCGCCATCCGTTCGCGTCTCGCCTCATTTGCTGCGGTAACTAACTTCCTCCTCGGGCAGGAAGTTATGATTCAGTTCCATCTGTTCCGTACTTCGGGGACTCCCTGAGCAAGAAGACAAGCTTGGCTCCGGACATCGAGTACCACTCATGAACATGTCCTGACCTTGCCCAGTTTGATCTGGATATGGGCACAATTCCAACATAAGGACTTAATTCAACCAGCGGTTGTGAGGGATAGAAACATTGCAAGGAATTCATGTTGGTAGAGTGGCAGCAGGGCACCATGAAACCCGGGGGCTGACGGAAGAGGAGAAACATGGATCAAGACTCCTGTGGCATGTTCTGGTACAAGGATCAGCTTATCGGCGCTGATGTTGCCAGCACTTGTATTTATAGCCGCTCGGAATCAGCTTAAGCGAGGATAAATTCGTGTACCAGGCTTGCGGCTAGGAAAATAGAGTGATAGAAACATGACGGTGATCCAGCTCGAAATGGCACATCGACCGAAGCTCACAGCTTAGCGCGGCCCTTACTTTGTATGCACACTTGTTATAGTAGTATTGTAGTTCATGAGACCATTGCGAAAAGACATTCGATTGCCGACAGTTGTGCTTCGACAGACCTCCAGTCGACATTGTGTTCTGCTTAGGCAACGCATACCAGAATAACAAGACTTTGCTGGATATGAGCACGCCTTCTCTCGACGTGCGTCCGGCGTCTGGATACTGGGTTGGGTCCCATAGTGGCTCAAGGCCGGGATCATGGACCGCTTCGTCGCGGAGGGGCCCTCCGTGCCGAAAACCGTCAAATCTCGGAACCCAAAACGGGCAGCAAGGTGCCAAAATCGACGTCTGCTCAGTATCTCGCAGAGTGATACTGGTCAACTCCGGAATTCCGGCATGACCAGCTCTGGTACAGCTTGATCACACCTGTCATCTCGACATCTGCCATGGTGACACCAGGCCGGACATCGCAGCACCAAACTCCAACCTTCGGGTCAGCACCGAAGCCAAAAGCTGATGAGATTGTGTTTCAGGGCCTAATCAAAGTGTTCGATCAGACCAGTCTTCGCAGGCCACTCCTTAGCCTTGAAGCAGGAAGCGGCCATTTCCCTTGCAGAGGCGATCAGGAGAAGAGGATACCAGCGGACAAGCCGTCGTCTAAATTGAGACTGCAAGTTTCATTAGCACGACTTAGGTACACACTGGTAGGCCCCGTGCATACGAAATGGACCACTGAAGATGAGAATAGCAAGAAGGCTGATGGATCCGTTTGTCCCTTGTCTCGGGTACGATCCGACTGGAGTCAAGTCAATCAGAGGGAAACAGTGGACTTGAACTTGAAGCGAATGACAGCCATGCCAATCAATGCGATGGTGACAGTGAGGGAAATTCTCCCATTGGTATTTGATGCGGTAAGTGGAGGAGATGGAGGTTGAAATCCGCAGACGGCGTCTGAGCTTTTCAGACCTTTTGCTTTTGCCTGCGCCAAAGTGAGACGCCAAATTTGGCGAACCACTTGAAGTTTGACTCAATTGCAACGCTGCCAGAGACCACAACTTGAACCCTGCTGCTACTATTCTCGGGCTCTACTGGATTCACTGCCAATGTTACTGCTGCACGGCTCATCAGACATCGGATCCTGATCCTCCTTGCACCGGAATGGCGTACAGGCTCCTCCAGGACCCATACAGCCCTACTCTAACGGGGTCTTCACTCTCCCAAGGATCGGTTGTCTTAGTCCCATCTTCGAGGTAAGAAGTACTCCTTATTGCAGCCATGTCTGCGTTCGTTCCTTTCTGCAGCCGCTGCTCTCGTCTGGCTGAAGAAGAGAAGCGTTTGTATTTTACGCCGCGATGGCGTTTACTCTGCCCCGAGGTTGGTCGCCGGGAAGACTTCTGATCGCCTTCCTCGTGCTTGTGTCGCTACTTGCGTTCCGATCATATTACCTTGCCTTCCACGGAAGTTCCGAGTTCAATGACTATTCGTACGACTGGTGGAAGGGAAACGAACTAGACGGCTCCATTACTGTGAGCGACGATGGCCTCGAGCATAGCCAGAACAGTGCAGAAGATCACGGCTTCATCCCAGAGATTCCCGACTTTACCGACCCCGTCAATCAGACATCTACCGGCCCGTCTCCTGCCTCCAGTTCCTCTTTCGCGTCCGCCGTTCCAGCGTGTCGTCGGCTTCCGGGAGCAGACAAAGTCGTTGTTATGGTCAAAACCGGTGCTACCGAGGCGCTCGCCCGTATACCAGAACAAATTGTTACCCTTGCCGACTGCGTCCCAAAGTTGATGATCTTCTCGGACATGGAACAAGAGATAGGGGAATTCCACCTGATTGACGCGCTGGACGAGGTGTCTCAAGAGTACAAGGATAGTCACGAAGATTTCGAATTCTACAAGGAGATCCATGAACTACATGCTGCCCACGGCGACCTGAGTACGCTTGGGTCTGCTAAAGGCTGGGATCTAGATAAATGGAAAAACATCCCTATGCTTCACAAGGCATACACGAAATACCCAGATGCAGATTGGTATGTCACCATTGACGCGGACACGTATCTTGGCTGGACAAATCTGTTGCTCTTCTTGGACCGGCTGGACCCGAATGAGCCATTCTATGCAGGAGCCATCAACTTTTATGGTCCCGTAACATTCGCTCATGGCGGCACGGGTTACGTCTTGTCTCGAAACGCCGTTGAAAGATTCGAAAGCATTCGCACGCCGGAAAGGATCGCAGACTGGGAAAAGGAAACCTCGACAATCTGCTGCGGAGATGTCATGCTTTCTGTCGCCATGAGCGCTGCCGGTGTCAATGTTAGCGGTGTCTGGCCCATGTTTCAAGGTGATGCGCCCGCCGATTTTGGATGGAACGAACGTCTATGGTGCACTCCGGCCATCACTTGGCACCATATACACTCGTATGACATCGAAGCGCTTTGGCAGTTCGAAAGAGAGTGGATCAACAAGACTTGGGATGACAACCGTCCAGGTGCAAAACCGTACCTGTTTGCAGATTTGTTCGATTACTTTGTCCAGGACTTTATTGCCCACGACAAGAAAAATTGGGATAACAAATCTGGGGAAAAGATCTTCACCAGACCTCATCCTGACCACGTCCCAGAGAACACCGACTGGGACTGGAAGAGCGATGAGGAAAAGCAAGAGCTGTGGGATAGTCTCTCGGAATCAGAAAAGGCAGCAACAGGGTCTATTGAGGCATGCCGTGCAGCTTGTGAAGCTGAGCCCCAATGCTTACAATTTTCATGGCATCCCGGCACATGCAAATTAGATCGTTCCGTCAGGCTGGGTCATGCAGTCGAAGCAGAACAAGAGACCATGTCTGGCTGGAATCTGGATCACATCGAACGATTCAAGAAATTGAAGGATCGGGAACATTGCGAGATTAAATGGGATATCGACTATCCTGACTGATGATGTTTTTTGCTCCCTACGCCGGGCAACCTCAGATGCTCCTCGGACGACCATTTCCTCTGCGAGGTTCTTCAGCTTCCTTCGCTCCAACTGCTTCACCACGGTATAACCTCTCCTTTCCAGTCGCGAAACCCACCACTAGTTTCCTTGGTTGCCGTGTCGATCAACGCCAGCAACCCCTCGGTCACCTTGTCTAGCGGCATGAACTGGTCTGCTAACTGTGGATTTGCCTTCAGCGCGGCCTGAAGGACGCTGGAAAAGTCCCGCATCAGATCCGTCGACACAGGACCTGGTGTGAACAGCTCGATGATGAGGTCCGGATAGTCCACACTGAGTTTCCGAATAGTATGGTTCAGCGCGGCCTTGCTCAACCCATAGGGCACAGTCTGAGCTGCGTGAAACTGAGGCAGGCGCTCGGTAGAACCGATGGCGGAACTGATGGCGATGAACTTCGCCGGTGGTTCCCCTTTCTCGTGGCCACCTTTTTCCTCGATATCAGTTTTACCACCCCGCTGCATGAGAGGCAGGCATGCTCTGAACAGACGCAACGGCCCGATGGTGTTGACGGTGACATGCTTGAGGATTTCTTCCGGGGGAGTCTCAACTGTGGGTCCGCGCCAGCCTAAGACCCCCGCATTGGCAATCACCACGTCAAGGCGGGCAATGCCGTGATCCCGCTGGGCTATAGCCACCGCATTCTCTGCTGCATGGTGATCGGTCGCATCATAAGGGAGGACGATGAGCTTGGCCGTCGTTCCTGCTGCCGCCGATCGCAGCGATTTGACGGTTTTGTCTTCAGGATTGCGGACCAGCGCGATGAGAGTGGTGTTGGGCCGAGAAAGGATATGCTCAGCTAATCCTCGTCCGATGCCGCGGTTGGCACCGGTAATGAGGTATGTTGTCGTGCTTGTCATGGCGACGCATGTGCCACTGTATGGATGTTGTGTGTTTGTTTAAACGATTGGACGTTGTGATGGTCGGACAATCAGCTGGCTGTTGATTTCTTTCCTCGAGCGAACACTGAGCTTGGGCACGGGATTCCAGCTGTCCCCTCCTGGGGCTTTTTATACGCTCGATAGATTGCCAGAGGCTACCCGACCGGGGCATGAGCGTCCGCACAAGCAGATGAAACAGACCTGGCATCATGCAAGGCTTTGGCTTAACTCCGGTTCGTTGGCATATTTCCGCATGGTCGAGGTTGGTTGCTCTTTTCGAATGATGGGCACACTTCTTGCCAGACCCAAATCAGTTTGCACATCGATCGACCGACCCATTGGACCATGGTTAAGTGGCTGTAACGCCGCCGCCAGACGTGTCCGTTAAAGTCTCCTATCATGGGGATACTTGGCCAATTTGGTTTATGCAGCCTCATTTCCTGCATATAACATTCACAACGCACAGTCGGTGAACGTTGTGCAATCTACAGTGTCCTTCAGCAGAGATGGACTGGGCTTAAGTCCGTCATAACTCCGTCACCCAGTGTACCTATGACAGAGTCCGGGTCCAGATAGGGGAAGACCTATGGAAAACGTTCCTTGACTTGTGCCGTCGAACCTATACTGTCGACATTCGAGGCAGTGCATCGGTTTTTGCGGGTTCTCATTCGTGGCCGAACAACGTCGGCCCCAACAGACGCCGCGTCTAGTTTATATAGGGATTACATTACTGGCTTGGAATCCTTAAGTCATATTATAGATATATACACATTACCACCAACACACAAAAAGAGCATTACTCGCAGGACATGTCATACTAGTAACAGGTGCTATTCCACGTGCCAGATGTCCAAGTAGACATAGAAAAATCGTCACAACGTTCGTCGAATAGGATTGGAAAAGGCGCGGTTGCCGAGATGATTGCGCTTGCGTAGGCCGGAATCGATTTGGTCGATAGGACCACGGTTGGTAAAAGCATCCCACGATGTGCAAAGATTGTTCACGTTCGAGGGAATATGGAATGCCGACGGAATGAGTTCGGGGTGTTCCTGTTGGTGAAAAAGACATTGTAATTAGTCTGCCGAAGATAGTTCACAGAACAAACTGAGTGGCTGTAAAACTGATGCTGCGAAGACGAAGCTTGCTTTTGGAAAAGCTCGGAACCCAACACTTACCAAGATATTGATATACAATCCACCACTGACGTGCCAAGCGATATGACAATGAAAAGGCCAGACGCCCGGGTTGTCGGCGTCGACTTGAATGGCCATATATCCATCCGGCTGAAGCATCTGCACGTCCCGACGGGTCGGGTTGGACGGGTTGACGACGGATCCATCCCAAGTTCCGAGGCCTTCACTCAACACGAACATGTTGTGGCCGTGGATGTGCATCGGATGCGCGATGGGAGACTCGTTGTTGACGACAATAACGAAACTCTGGTTGCTACCGAAGTCGTACATGTTCCATTCGGGGTCGTAGGGGTGCGAATCGTTTCCGGCGGCCGCGAGCATAAGCACGGGGTCGTTGTAGTCGACGCGGAAGCTGGAGCCGTCCATGGTCCATAGGAAGTGGCCTGTCGAGTTGATTTCGAAGTTGAGCGCCACGTTGACTGTTGGTACGGCTGCTGCTGCTGCTGCTGATGTGGTGCTATTGTCATTGCTTGACGCGGGGGGTGTGATTGGGTAGAACGGGACGGTCGTGTCGAGCGCGTCGTTGCCGCAGCTCGTGTCGTCGATGGGCCAGGCCGACGAGGTCGGCTCTGCTGTGGTATTGGCGTCTTGGTAGTAGATGATGGCCAAGCCGTCGGGCTGCGTGGTGGCAGAACACAAAGAGCTGATGGTCGATCGCATCCAGACAAGGTCAGAGCTGGATCCATTTGCCTGGACAATCACGTCGGCGCGCTGGCCGATGCCCAGTGTCACAACGTTAGTGGTGTATGGCTCGATGGGGACCAAGTCGTAAGCCATGACGGTCAGGGCGTGGTTATCGATGCTGAACCGCTGGATACCTTCAGCGCCTGCGTTGATCAGTCGGAGGCGATATGACTGACCCGAGGTGAAGCCGAACTTTGACAAGCCTGCGTTAGGAGTGCATGTCGTGTCATTGCTTACTAGAGAGCAGTCGTAGACGCCCTTGCCGTTGATGAGGTTGTTGACGGAGGTCGGGGCGACAAGCGTAAGGTCTGTGCCCATGACCTCTTCGACAATCGTGTAGTAGTCCTCGTGGTAATAGTCCGTCAGCAGAATAGGACCGAGATCCTCGTCGTACTCGGCGTTAAGTGGACCGTGGATGATCATGGGCCCAAGAATGCCGCCGGCATACTGCGCCGAGTAGTGCGAATGGTACCACGTCGTTCCGTACAGAGCGGCGTTGAACGAGTAGGTGAACGTCTGTCCGGGAGCAATGGGACATTGAGTGATGCCCGGCACGCCGTCCTCGTAGGGCGTACCTTTCTGCAACATGCCGTGCCAGTGGAGCGCAGTCCCTTCCTCTGGCCCCGTGATGCTGTTGGTCACAGTGACTTGGATGGTGTCGCCCCAGTTCGCTTCGATGGTAGGTCCCGGAAAGGCGCCATTGACGAGGAGCACGCTACGCTCAACCCCGTCAGGAGCTATCGTGCCTCGCGAAATGACAAAGTCGTATGACCGAACCACGCCCGTCGACGGCGCCCCCTTGTACGGATTCGTGTTACTGGCCGTTCGATTTCCCCAGGGCGGACTGCCCGACGGTGATCCTCCATGGTTATGATCGCCGGAGGAGGAATGGCCGATCCAAAGAGGGTATTTGGGGGCGTCAAAGGTGCCGAGCAATGATTGGCCGTTGGTCTCGCTCTGGGGTAAGGCATTGTTCCCGAGCGAAGAACCTGAGGTTGGTTTGGGAAACCCTGATGTCGGAAGATTTGACGGAAACACGATGGTTGATAGCGATGCTGGTAAACTGGCTGTTCCGATGATGGGTGGCCCCGAGTAGTAGACAGGATTTTGGGAAGACTAAACGAAAGAGAGACCGTAAGTAACAGCGGTCAATTTGTAGGCTGGACCCGACGTCCTTACTTACCACCGTATTAGAGCCATGGCCCGGCCCTGGAGGCCGATGCGACGGGCCTACCGGATGAGGATGAGCTGGCGTTGTTAGAAACAGATGAGGCCTTGAATGGCCAGTAGGATGGAATCCTGCATGTCGTCTCCCTGTCGGTCTGGCTCTAATACCAAAGTCAAAGTCTCCTGGCCCTCGAAAATCAGGGACGGCGTGTATCGAAGCCGCGAATAGCAGGGTAACCCATATAAGGACCGAAGTGACGCCCATTTGTGCAAGTAAAATCTCGTAGATCTGACAACGGTACACTGGAGAAATGCTGAGGGCTTGTGGAAGCCTTTCCAAACGAAAGAACAGGGCGTTTCAAACGAAGGGACGACGTTCACACGTCAAGAGCTGGAAAGAAAATTCAATCACAAAAACAACATACCACATAAATGGAAGTCGGGGAGCTACCAAGCAGGAAGAAACGTGCCGTTTTATTCTGCTCCGCAGATTTGGTTACGTCGTGATGGGCTCCCAGGAGAAACATACCAACCAGGAATACGACTCCCAAGAACCGCCCTTCGTATGAGCCTCGATGTCCAAAGCCACGTCGTCCACAAAAAAAGTGTTTCGGCCGACCGCTTGCCGCTCACCAGTTGACTTCCTGCCGTACTGGAGAGCCGTGGCGCAAAAGTCTCGCGTAATCGGGACGATAAGCTTGCGAGGGCAACCAGGGCCGGCGAGTAGATCCAGGAGATGGAGATTTGTAGGCCCACTTGCGCAGACCGTCGTGGCGGCAAGTGTCATGGTGGGCAAGAGTACGGGTTGTTATCCCATGCTGGAAGCGTTAACGCCCATAAATATCGCTCGAACACTTATGTCAAAGGGGTGTTTTCCACAGTTTCACAGGTCGTGTGCCTGGATCGGCGGTCAGGTACGGGAGTCCTTCATGCATTGCTCAGGAGTGGGAAAAGAACAGCATTCTTTTTTTGCGGCGTTTGTGACCCAACACGAGGAAGCCAAAGCTTAACCCGAAGCTTCGGGCGCTTAGCGCACGGTCTCGACACCTTCATCCATCTTTTCTTTACTTCCCCTCTGGCCGAATCGGTAAATGGTGGAGAAGTACTGGGCTCTTCCAATCTTAGCGAAGAATATTGTTGTTGACGTGTCGAATGACGTGGCTGGCATATAAGATTGACATGACAATGCTCTTGCAGGTGGAAGCTGGGGTAGCAGATCGATAGGAGAGAACTAGGCGTGTTATGGAAGGCTGTTTTTGCATCTTGTGGCGATCTCGATCTTGACTATTCCGTCTCAAGGTTTGTGGCTTGCAAGCCATCAATTTCTCCTGAGCGAACCTCTAATCTGCCGCCCTGTCCACGGTAGCTAGAAGTAGAGTCAGCAAGCCACAAAAAGTTCTTTGCTCGGTTGTGAGATACGGCAAGACAACGCGAGCTTAGTTGCTGCTCGTGGTTTCTGTGAAGTAGAGACGCGCGTGACTTTGTATTTCATTTAATCGCTGGAGTGATGTCTTCGACAGTTACTGGCCCAAAATGCGCAGCTTTTGGTTAGTACTCGACGCTGCAGAAATACCTGGTACGGCGGAACTTTGCTTATCGATAGGGCATTCCCTCTCCCTTTATCGATAGCACACCGCGGACGTCCACTGGCAGTACACAGTACAATGTACACAGTCTTGCAGTCGCGGACACTACTGCAGCACAGCGTTGACCAGCATCTGTCATTCTGTGGATGATCGTCAATGAGTAACAAATAGCTGTCCTCGCGTTGAGGTCTCACAGACGCTGCCCTAGAAGAAACAGAATGATCAAGCCCAGAAACTTATAAACCACGACATCCATAAAATGAGGACAGTTCGAGCCTGACCTGTCGGGATGACTAAGCAGATATGTATCACGTGTGGGGCCACAAGCCAATCACATCGCTGCAGGACATAATGGCCAATCTGTCCCCCTTTTCCAAATGAACCACACCAATGCTGTTCACCGCGTCTACATTCACTTCATTGTCCCAGCAAGCTTCCCTCGTGGACCATGCATGAGTAAGTCTGAATGGCTGCATTCGACTGGAGAAGCTGTTGGTAAGCTGAGGAGGACCGTGCTGTGGCCAGCTGACTAAACCAACATGCACCTTCAAGCATGTGGACGAGCTAGCATTGCCCTGGCCAACATTCTTCTCCTTGCAGCACTCTTGGTTTTTGCGAAAGGGTTCTTCCCCCACAAGGCCTTTCTGCCTGGTCTGGCGACACGGCCTCAAGATCTGGACAATGGGTCCCAATCGGCTCCATTCGACCGGGTCATCTTCATGGTGGTGGACGCGCTACGCAGCGACTTTGTCTATAGCGATGCGTCCAACTTTGCCTTCACTCAAGGCTTGATCAGATCTGGCGCAGCAGTTCCATTCACCGGGCATGCAAGTGCGCCTACCATCACCATGCCACGAGTCAAAGCTATCACGACAGGTTCAGTTCCGAGCTTTGTCGATCTCATTCTCAATTTTGCCGAGTCAGACACGACTTCGACGCTCAAAGATCAAGACTCCTGGTTGGCACAATTGAAGGCACGTGGCGACAAGCTGGTCATGTATGGAGATGACACATGGCTGCGGCTCTTCCCTGACTTCTTCGATCGAGCAGATGGGACTACCAGTTTCTTCGTTTCCGATTTTACAGAAGTGGACAATAATGTGACCAGGCACATTCCCCGCGAGCTGGAACAACAGGACTGGTCTGCCATGACATTGCACTTTCTGGGGCTCGATCATATAGGGCACAAGACCGGACCCAAGGGCCCAAACATGCACGCCAAGCAAGGCGAAATGGATGGCATTGTAAGACAGATTTACACGGCCATGGAAACGAATGAGCATCTCAAATCCTGTTTGCTGGTGGTGCTTGGCGATCACGGCATGAACGAGGGAGGCAACCATGGTGCTTCATCTCCCGGCGAAGTGTCTACTGCACTCACCTTCATCTCGCCAAAGTTCCAATCTGCATTTGAAGGGCAAACCAGTCCGTTCCGGAATGCGATCGACTATAAATACTACCAAGTCATCCAACAATCGGATGTCGTTCCAACATTGGCCGCGCTTCTGGGTTTCCCTATCCCGTTGAACAACCTCGGCGTCATCATCCCACGCCTGCTTGAACTGTGGACAGTCCAACAAGATCAGTACAACCTCCTTTTCGAAAACGCGCAGCAGATACATCGCATTGCACGAGCGACATTTCCAAGCACGTTTGTTGATCGAGCAGACAGTCATCAGGATTGCTCAAAAACCACCGGAGACGATGCGGATATTCTAGCATGCCTGTGGAAGCAGGTCCTGGAAGACCGTGACGCTGACATTGCAAGCAGCTCGTCGATCGCAAATTTGCGAACGTTTTTGTACAAGGCTCAAACGGTCCTTAGCGGTACAGCCAGCAACTATGACCTGGCTAGCATGCGACTCGGCATTGGACTCGGCTTGATTGCGCTCTCCCTATGCCTGCCCAACTTCATCAACGGAATCCAAAAGTACAGCTACGGTAACGAGAGCTTCGCCTTGCTATTGATCATGGCATTGTATGCTGTCACCATGTTTGCCAGCAGCTATGTGGAGGAAGAGCACCAGTTCTGGTATTGGATCCTGGGCGCATGGTTGATCATTCTGTGCTGCAAGGATGGTCGATATGCCGCACCCCCTGCCAACGAAAGTGCCAGATCGGGCGGGTCGTCGATACAAACAGCCCTTGCGTTTTTGCTCTTCGGTGTGGTTCGCCGATGGAGGCAGACCGGCCAAAAGTACGCTGGTGGTCCTGACCTTCTCAGCGAGTTGGTGACACCGTATCCGTGGCTACTCTGGACGCTGGTTGTTCTTACCTATGTTCAACTCACAGTGAACCTTAGTCAGAAGACATCAACGTGGGTGAATGTCAGGCAAATGGGCCTCCTGCCCGTCTTGGTGTCCATTTCGGCTTTCCTGTTCAAGATCGCCTTCACGGCCGCTGATGCGCCCGAGCTTCTGCAGGATTTCCCGCTCTTCGACGCCCTCGTGGGCTTTGTGTCGCGGTATCCTCTGGTGAATCTCGCTAGAGTGGTTTTTATCGGACTCGCACATCTACTCTTATGCGCGATATACTACGAGACACCTTGGAAAAGTGCCCGGCATTTAGCCTCCTTTTTGACGGTATTCCAGGATGTGCTCTCGATTTTTCTTGCTACTCAGTCGCGCACTGTCTATATTCCGCTCTATCTGTTATTCAACCTACAGTTGTCTCTCTTACGGCGCGGGCGGAGATACTCGACCGGCGAAGTCACGATCTTGTCTCTGTTGTTTCAATACTTGTCATTTTTCGCCATGGGTGGCACCAACTCAATTGCTACCATCGATCTTTCAAATGCTTACAACGGGGTCAGTGGCTACAACGTCGTCGCCGTGGGCGTTCTGACGTTTGTGAGCAACTGGGCTGCGTCGATCTGGTGGGCTTTCGCAGTCTGCCAATTACTTGTGGACCCCGAAGGTTTAAACAATGGCCATTCGGGTTTCCTCTTAATGTCCTTGTCAACATTCGCCTGCGTTCACACCATCGCCGTCATGGTCGCTTGCACCGTTCTTCGTGAACACCTGTTCATCTGGACCGTTTTCTCGCCGAAATATCTGTACACAGCCGCTTGGATTGTGGGCCAGCATATTGTCATCAACAGCATAAGCGTTGGAGCATTGCTGTGGCATAGTAGTACTTAAGACAGGGCCATGGTCATCCAGAACAAATCCATGGCTGATGAACCTCACATTTACAAGTCACGTCCAGCACGGAACTCATTCCTGCTACCAGGTCACGGCGTATCCAACTTCCAAACCCGATCGAGGAATGTCTCGGTGTCTGGAAAGCAGCCCAAATTCATACTTTTACCCATTGTTGTGTGCCACTTTCGGGCAATGACTGAGCACCGTTCTGCACTTGCGGCACTACAAAACTGTCGAAGAGCTCGCCAATGCCCTCTGTATCATCAATCGGAATCACTTTCGAAACATCTGTACCGCGAGTCGAGATTGAGTCAGCCAGTGCAACAAATGGACAGACAACACAATCTCCTTTCTGTGCTTACATTGATCAGGGCGGACAATAACAGTGGCGCCGACATCCGGGTCTACGCCGTACTTTTCATAAGCGTGGCCGTGACCCGAGTTATAGCTCTCGTCATCGACAAAGGCCTTATGCAGGTCTATATATTACACACAGAAGCATCGAGTCAGCTCTTGTCACATTTCCAGATGTGGATTTTACTTTGTCTCAAGGACAGCCTGCTTACTTACCTCGAGCTTTCCACTTTCCCGTAACAGGCCAGAAGAATGCTGGTATGTCTTCCTGTTCAAGTTTGATCCTCTCGCCTGAGAAGACGACGATAGGTTCGATGAAGCTGTCGATATCGGCCGTGGGCGCAGTATACTTCCGCACAGGCCCTGTCGGGGAGTCCAAGTACTCGGCAATCTAGCACAGAATGCATCAGACGTTAGTGATAACAATCATACAATGCCAGAGACCGGGGATTCCCAGATAAGCCACAGTTCGTCCGACTTGGAAGCTTTTGTGCTGGGTGAAGTGGTCAAAAATACACTCCCTCGCTCGCTCACTCACCTTGTGCAGCCGTTCCAGAGTGTTCGGGTCACCAATTTTGCCCGCGAAGAAAATAACCCTCCATCGCCCATCCGCAGTGAGCGCTCTGACCAAAGGCATAGCTTTTGCATCGCAAAATCTTACCACTTGAGCATTAGGAAACCTCATACCAACAACAACACCCTGGGCCAGTTCGTGCCTGCTGCGTGCGGACGAAGTAAGAGGCGAATCCTCATATTTTGCCGTCAAACCAGCAGTATAGCGACCGGACTTGATAAACCCTTCACTGAAATGCTCGGGAGTCCAATCAGAAGACGACGATGCATCACTCTTCTTCTTCGAAAACAATTTGGTGAACCACCTATCAAAATCAATCAGATCCGCAGCAGTCTTGCCACGCTCGAGATTGTACGTGGTCAACAAGCTCGGCAATGCTTTTCCCGTCAAAATCATCCCCAGCTTCCAGCCAATATTATACCCATCCTGCAAACTGACATTCATGCCCTGGCCGGCCTTGGGGGAATGAGTGTGAAAAGCATCGCCAGTCAGAAAAATTCGATTGTCCTTTGTGAAATGGTCCGCCAACCTTTGGCCGATACAGTAACACGACCACCATGCTGTCTCGGCGATTTCCATCTCAAAAGGAGAAAACACCTGCCTGGCTTTCTCATGCAGATCTTCCAATTCGACATCCTGCACATTGGTCCCCGTGGGGAACTCAATGTAGAATCGAACCATCCATCCTCCTTCCCGGGGGATGACTAGGATCGTACCCGCGTTGGAATGGATCGTGGCTTTGCGTCGAATATCCGGGAAATTCGTCCGTGGATACACGTCCATGACGCCCCATACTGCATCTGTGGTGTCGCCGACCATTTTGTATCCGAGTGATTTGCGAACCATACTATGGGCGCCGTCACATCCGAGAACATATTTCGCACGGAACCGCTCTTCTTTGCCGTTTTTCTCTGCGATGACTGTACATGGATAATCGGCGGCGGCGTCGACACCATTATCAACAGCCACACTCTTAACGGTATACCCATACTCCACGTCCCTCGCACCAATGCCGCGCATCTTATCCAGCATCAATCCATTGATCCGGGCCTGGTTAAGAATCACATGCGGCTGATGACTCAGTCCCGGCTGTGTATCGGCCGTCCGACTCGTACGATATAGCTTGCCAGTCGGGTCGTTTGGGTTCACCGCCCAGAACGCCACTTCGAGAACGTGGTATGCCTCACGCAACAGATCTTCCGACATGCCGAACGACTCGAAGACTTCCACCGTTCGACACTGGACCCCGTCCGCTTGGCCCATGGTCATGGGTCCGGATCGCCGCTCGAGAATCTTGACGGAGGAGACGCCGTAAATGGCTAGCCAGAGGGCTGCGCAGAGTCCTGCACTGCCCGAGCCGCAGATTAAGACGTCCACGGACTGGTCTTGTGCTTGTTCGTGTTCGTGTTCTGAGCTTTGGGCCATTATTTTGAAAGATGAGGACCTTTGAAAACCTCACTCGGGGGAAAGAAGACCGATGATTCAACGACTTTGGCTGATCCAAGGAAGGTGGAAGGTCAAGTGGACAGCTAGCAGTGCCGAGCGAGTCGAGCTGTGTCTTGTTTGTTGTGTTCAGATGCAACTTGTTTGTTGTGTGGGAGAGTAACAGGTATGGTATGGTATACCTTTGAGCCCAAAAGGTACCTTTCCCTTTCAGTCCCTGGGATTGGAATCGATAATATGATACCCTTTCGGCGGTCTCGTCCCTCGTTTGATGGTAGATGATGGCAGATAGATGATGACGATGTTGTTCCGCTGCTGACTGATGTTGATGTCGATGTATGCAGATAAATAGATCCTGTAGAGATATATGGCGGCAGGCTGGTGCTGATGCTTTTCTTGTCCAGACAAACCACCACTTGACCCGGCGAGGCGTGAACAAACCCAGACTACCTTTTCCGTTCTCCTAAGTCCTCTTGTTCTCAGCTCTCGGCCCTTTCGATTTCCTAGGGAGTCGTACAACAAACAAGCAAACAGAACAGAAGAGCAGCGTCGTTCGATTTCAACAACTAGTTAACTAGTCATACGTTATCTTGTCCTGTTAACAAGGCGAGGCCAGGCTCGCCGTTCTATTAACCGTACAGTACAATGGGACGAAGAAGCCGATCTATCCCCTCGGTAGTGGGCCAATAATAATAATAACCACAGTAAAGTGAATCGGACGTCCACCGCGGCAGCGCGACAAACGAGTCGGGAAATGGATACGGCACTGGCCATCTTATAAGGCGTCGGATTTACCCCCAGCAAGCCCAGGGAGCCCGTCTCCGCCCCGTTTGTTGACTACCTAGGTACGTACATACGTTTTATTTACCCCGGGTGTTCACTCACCCCGCGGACCCCATACCTAGGCACATATGGGATGGAGTGACTTGACTACGTACCACAGATACAGTCGAACAGTAGTAGTACAGCAATTGTACATACAGTAGAATCACACTTCCAATGCAGTCACCTATCGTACATACAAGCCGCAAACCTTTACCGTCGCTCAATACGCCGGGGAAATCATGGACCGGAAAAAGCTACTGCACTGTAACAAACAACCTGTGCTTCTCCGGAATTCGTTCCACTCCGGTGCAGTCTGCAGGTTCACTTCAAGTAGAATTCAACTGAACTGCTTTACCAGCAGTAGGCACGGATGTTTATAGCACAGTAGTAAGTAGTATATAACAGTAAGAGTGGTCAGTCTGACTCAGTCAAAGGTTGGTTCTCCCTTATCCGGTGACTGCAGTGGGGGTACAATACAAGGAATGATATGAACGTGATGCGGTCTGTTGATATAGAATATATGTAGTACAGTACAGTACATAATAGCACACCTCCACCCTTCGTTTGCTAGGTACAGTACAGTACCTAGTGGTTCTTCTGCTTAATCGTGCGTACGGGAGCCGGATCTGCAGTACGGCATTTGCAGTGTTGTGAAACGTATTATTGTATAACGTAAAGGGAACTCTTCTGGAGAGGTGGTCGACGTGTTGGTGTCCTCCTTCATGATGTTGACATGACATCAGGATATTATTGTTGAGCCATGCACACATGCTGGGTGAAGATATGCTGGGTCAACATATAACCATTCCCGCAGCGGCCTGTGTCAATCGCTCTCAAGCCGATAATTACCAGCAACGCCATGGCGGCAAGTCTAGGTGCTCCTAGTATTGGACCCTAACAAAGTAGCCTTCGCTGGTTAATTGAGTTTGAGTCCGCTGATTGGATGAACATGAACAGGGTCCGAGTCGGGCGTTGCAAACCATTCATCATGGGTGTCTGGCACCTTCAACGACGAAATGATGGGCCATTATCCTGCAAAGGAGGTGGAATACTGAGCTGGATCTCACGATGATGGCCGACAAACGGCATGGTTATGCCGTGGCGTGACTCCAAACACTTCTCGTCGTCCCGTATCCACCAATAATTCTCGTAAAGGCTGCGGACCCTCGGGCATCGTTGCGCCCAAACGTCCGCATGATACCCCGAGAGCTCCAATGCGGATCCCAATTCCCGGAGATTGTGTACCAGCCAACAAGATTCAGCCTTGTCTCGTCTCGCATGCTCGTCGTCGGGAGTGCGACCTTTCAGATAAGGGAGACATGTAACCAGGGAGCTTGAACAGCGAGTCTGCAAGGCAGGAAGCTTGATAAGCCCTAGGTGGGATTCTCACGGAGTGCGCGATCCAGACGCCTTGACAGACACAGAGGCTGAGTTCACATGGGGAGACACCACGATAACAGGAGGAAGTTGCCCAACGGGGATATTTGAGCTAGAGGTGGCCAAATAGTCCCCATGAGTGTGACCATGATATGCCGTCACTGGCACCTGGAGAGTGTCCCGCCGCTGTTGCGGTCCAGACCCAGTTGGGCTGGCACACGGGTCGGAAAGAGCCGGTTCAGTCCGTGAAGGGCCCGATTGTGGCACAGTATCTGAATCAAGTGGGGGAAATGGTGGTAAGGAGTCCGGGGACTGTGGCGACAGAGGTGACTGTGCCCTATCCGCTGCCGCGCTACAATCGACACCAATGTCGGGGGGAACTCTAGAGCGTCCGCGAAGCATAGGAGAGCTCTGAAACCGTGTAATCTCTCCATAATGCGAATTTCGTGCTGGCTCTCCCGGAACCCAAGGGTAACCCTGTGCTTCGCCATTTTTGAACTCGGAGTCGTCAAAGCGGCGATGTGCGGTTCCCACATAACGAGCGACCGCTTGCAACACGCTAGCCACTTTGCGTCTGCTGCCGGCGTCATGCTGAAGTGGATTGCCATTTCTCTCCAAAGTTTGGTCCATGGTAACGCAAGTGGTGTCCTTTCCCCGGTCGATGCTTGCATTTGTCCCAATATGCGCGAGGCTATGGTGTAGGTTTTGGCCATCTTCAGTTGCAGTGGAATTTACAGGACTCCGGAACCGGCCGGGACTGACTCCCCTTTCCGAGCAGGTACATTGTCTTGAAGTAATAGTCTGGTTGACTCCAGCGGTCGCAGCGTCAAGCTTTTTGTCAAAAAGTACAAAGAGCGATCCTAAAACTGCGAGAGCCGTACCAGCGATTGGAGCCCATTGGCCTGTCAACAGCATCGATCAATCAGCCAACTGTGACAATCAGCAGGACCATGAAGAAAGCAGCCCACCTACCAATGCTGGCTATAGGTTCAGTCTGATATAGTATTTGAGGGCTGAAAAAGTTCAACTCGCCTGTAACAAGTATTGCGAGTACGGCAGCACCGATAACAGGAATCTGTACAGCCCACAAGAACTCGGTAATCTTCTCGTTGATTTGCCTCATCTTCTCAATCGTGGCGCCGTTAGTTCCGGAGATCAGTTCATTGGTTTCTTCTTGTTTGTTTCGATCGGGAAATGTTCTCTTGTAATTGAGCTCAAGGATCTCCTTCCACATTGATATTATGGAGAGAATGGGAGGTATACAGCAAGCGGCTGCGAGAAGAGTTGCCGTGCCAAACGTCAATTTGTCTGGGGCTGGGATAACGTATATGTTGTTGGCCGAACCACCTCGCATAGGAGAGTGTGGCCCCGCATCGACAGTGCATGTGAGGCCGCACTGACTTTTATACTGAAACTTGCCGGCGTCAGGAGAAAGGACGTTGCCAAAATCATCGCGTGGACAATCAGTGACATTGCTCCGGAAGAATTCCACTGTCAAGCTTAGGAGCCCTAGTTTGAGTCAGAAGCAGTCGCACAAATAGTTCCCGCCAGTCGCTCACCGGCAAGAATGAGTCCAGTCCACAAAAAGATGAGATTTCGGCCAGTGTCATTGAAGTACGTCCGAGACAGCCTGACCGTCACCGGGGCGGCCAATATCCCGATGGAACACAGCTGGAAGGCCCCGAAGACATCCATATCGACAGCATCTGAGTTGAGCTCGTCAGAAACGATCAGGGACTGATGTCTGCCATGAGGAACGTACGATCAACGTGAACTGCCGCAAGGACGATGCCGTGGAGAGCGGCGACGGCTGGAAACAAGAGAGCTGCCGCCACACAGGCTTTCCGCAGCCAAACTATCTTCTGGGCAAAGACGCATGCGGCGATGAGGGCGTAATATAAGGCCCTCGAGCCTGGGCCGTACTGGCCAGAGAGTGGCCACGCACATACAACCTTCAAAGTATCATCGGTAGTGTTCGTAGCCATAGAGGCTTTCAAGAATAAAGAGCAACGCCGGCAACGCTGAAATAAGTGCGGGCATGACCTCCTTCCTTAATAAGTAAGGGAGTATGGTGGGCAAGGTGGGAAAGATATTAGTCTCGCATGACAGGAAAATACTAAGAGCCAAGAGTCACCAATATAGAGGATATCCGGTGCTATTTGCTTGAGAGCACGGTGATACGAAGAGCTGGGGGAAGAAGGCAGAAAGTACTTTCGGCAGCACGAGGTGCTGAGGCTGAGCTACCAACTGGCGTCGTGGCTTTCGAGCCATCCCATCTGGATGTGAGGCTCAAGGCTAGGCGTCCCGGATGACATATCATATTGCTGCAACAGCACAGGTGCATGTGCCTAAGAATCTTTGGCAGGGTTAATGGCAGGTTGTGTGTTGTAGATAAGAGTGATGGAGGAGGACGGACGGGGGAGGGGAGGTCAACCATCATGAGAACGGGCAGCTCATAATGCCTAGGTGAGTGCCAATAAATGAGAGGCCAATGGGAGGCCTTGGATTTGGGTTTGGATAGACACCATGCGCTAGTCTTCTCCTGAACTAGTTCGCCAACGCTGGAGATCATGTGAGCGCTCACCGGTTTGGCTGATTGCCTGATCTAAACCTATTCGGGATGCTTTCGAAAAGGAGCAGGTGCACAGGTGCTGGAGTAGTGACAACACGGATCTGCCTCCCTGCAGTCGTAGGTACCATTGCTCAGTGCCGCCTCTCAAGCTTATCGTCAAGAATTTCTCAGACCTAAGGTACAGTATAGTTGCTCTCCGCAGAGTACACTTCGAATTCATATCTGCAACAGGCGGTGTAGCACAATACGAACGGACCAGAACCAGGCCGTTCAGAGGTGCGCCACGATGCACCCACGGCCTGGTAGCGTCGTGGTATGCGGTGCGCCTATCGTTGCACGAAGGACCTTAGATGATGATGTTCAATTGGCTGGAAATGGCACCTACTGCATTTCGAGCTCCTGCTCCTCGTTCGTCTGGATGCCCTGCCCTCAGCCCTCCAATGTACACCATGCATGCTCCTGGCAATGCTCATCATACGGGCTGTGATCCCGAGAGCGAACATTGCACTGCCTCAATCCCGCATGTGTCAATGGGCTGATTTGCTTTGAAAGGTTTCTTCTGACATGCACGTGGGACAACAGCTTCCTCCATGTCAAAACTTCCACAAAAGGTCGGCTGACCCCTCCCCCAGCTCGACACGATTCACAGTCCATCTCGGTTTTCATTGAAGCGACCTCAGATTGCTCTATTCGTGGGCCTTCCAGGTCCTGTCGAACTTGGGTGCCCATGGCCGTTGCCAGGCCGCAGGACAGAACAGCGCGACGAGCCTTTGCGCCAGATCTTCCCAAATGCAGTTGCTGCTAAGAGCCGACAATCTATGACCGTGTTGACTTCCGAAAATTGCACTTGAAGCCAGCATCAGGCAGGCCAGACTGACACTATCAAGACTTCGTTGCTGCATCTCATCAAAATGGAAGATACCCTAGACACCAGCCAGATAAAATCATGGCGTTCAATCGTCACGCTCATAGTATTCATCCTCACCAGTAAGTACGGGTCGAATCCACTTGGGCAGTCATAACTCTTGGGACTGACCTTTTTGACTCTATAGACATTACAGTTTTGTTCCCTTTTAAAGTCCCGCTATATATCCCGAGACCGGTTTCCACAGCTGTTCTCGGCATGCTCAGTAACTGCCGCGTGATATCCCCCAGGCCGAAACAATCTCGACGTGTTAAAACGGGCTCCCATCCTTGCACGGTCGACCGGTATGTGCGCCTGGAGTTTCCCATGAATTTTGTGACCGCACCATTGGTTGCCGACCTCTTCCTGCTTGCGATCTCGGCGATCGGGCGTCAAGAGGTGCACGACGGGACGGTAGGATCGAACAACATCTCCCCCCTCGACATCATGGCCTTTTTCCTCACCCTGGCATATATCGCCATTTCCATCGATGCTTCAGGCTTGATTAGGTACCTGGCGTTCCAGGTGCTCAAGAAAGGTGGCAAAGTCGGGCATTGGCTCTTCTTCTACCTCTACACCTTCTTCTTTTGCTTGGGCACCTTCATTGGAAACGACCCTATCATCCTATCTGGTACAGCATTCCTGGCTTATATGACTCGGGTCTCCAAGAATATCATGCACCCAAGGGCGTGGATCGTCAGTCAGTTTGCGGTGGCAAACACCGCCTCTGCCATCCTTGTCTCTTCCAATCCAACCAACCTCGTGCTAGCTGGCGCCTTCAAGATCAAATTCATCACCTACACAGCCAATATGATTGTGCCAGTCGTTGTCACAGCCATCGTGCTCTTTCCGTTCCTGTTGTATGTCGTCTTTGCCGATAGCCGTCTCATTCCCGTATCGATTCAGATGCGCGACCTCCCTAATAATTTAAAAGGACGCGAGCGGCGCAATCCCAATATCCCTTACGCACGGGGGATTACGGAGGAAGAAGATCAGACAGCCGCCAATGCCGAAAAGGGCGAGATTCTTTTGCTCGAAGAGATTATGAATCCTTTCCTCGACAAAAAGGGCGCAGCATTCGGAGCCTTGATAATGGCTGTGACGCTTATCACCCTATTAGCACTGAACGCGGCCAGCCAGAGCCAGGGCGAGTATCCTGTGTTCTGGGTGACGTTGCCAGCTGCTTGCATCATGTTCTGCTGGGACGTCACTTTCGGGTTCATGAACCGAAAGATAACACGCAAGCTCGCTCGGCAGACTCTCTGGGAATCTGAAGCTGATAGATCCAAGCCCGCCGCCAGTGGAGATGAGATGAATGAGAAGGGGATTGCTTCGGTGCAAGAAGAGTGGGTAGAAACGTCAAATCACCAAAAAAGCGTGCAGGTGCATTCGTCGGGCGCTGGAGAGTCTCGCCATGGTTCTGCTGGGCACGAGGATTGGAAGGCAGATACAGACAAGATCAAGTCTGGCGGTGTAATTCCAGCGTCGAGAATACCGACACTCACATCCCTGACGCTTACTGGCTCTGGACAGGCAGAGTCAGACAATGGCCCACTCGATACGAAGCCGATAGGGCAGGTGGACGTGGAGCGAAGCCTCTCTGAAAGCGAGCAACGGAGACGTGAGAGGCCGACGCTCGTTTCTCTTGTCTCGGATGGGCATCGCTGGTGCCAGGAGACCCTTCCGACAGTCACGGCTGTGGTGGCACATTTGCCATTTATGCTTGTGCCATTTGCCTTCTCCATGTTCGTCCTCGTGCAGGCATTGGTCACCAGGGGATGGGTGCCTGTGTTCGCTCACGGATGGGATCACTGGGTGAACAAGACTGGAACCATTGGTAGCATCGGCGGCATGGGTCTTCTCTCGGTCATTCTTTGCAACGTAAGTCTCTGTCGTGTCTGCTGCTCCAAGCACCGTCCGCTGCTGGTAGCTTGGGGTCACTAAGCTAACATTGGCCTTGTTCCGCTCGTGCATAGTTTGCCGGCACAAACATCGGCAGCACAATCCTGCTTTCTCGTGTCATTCAGGCATGGCAAGAGATCCACGTCGCCAATGGAACTCCCCTCAGTAACCGGACATTCTGGGCGACCGTGTATAGTATGGCGCTTGGTGTCAACTTTGGCGCGTACAGTATGGCATTCAGCGCATCGTTGGCCGGGCTACTTTGGAGAGACATACTGGCGAGAAAACACATCAACGTGAGCAGACTCGAGTTTGCCTGGTGGAACGTTCCCATCATCGCCCTCGCAATGGGTGTCGGTTGTGCCGTCCTTGTCGCGGAGGTGTACGTCGTCAGAGATGACTCGCCATATCATCCAGGATGAAACTGGCCAAACAATCCGGCACGGAAAGCAGCTGTCCATCTCTGCAAACTTTGACGCACCTGCTACCTTGTTCCATTCCGCCGTTGAGAAACTATAACACAGGTTAACGCGTTGGTTCTCACGTACAGGTGCCCAGGTGCCCAGGTGCCCGAGGACAGAAGGACCCCAAGAATGGGAAACGTACAATGCATATCTCAGCGATGTTGGGATTTCCCTCCTTGTGACCGAGCTATGAAGCACAGAGATCAAGGAGATGATCCTGTGTTCCTCCGAACAGTAAATGGTTCAACTTTGGCCATCAACCACGGACCGTTTATGTCCGGAGCCCAGTAGCAACGCTTTCCGATTCGAGGTGCTCTCACTGTCTCCAACAAAAGTTCGATGCATGACAAGGAGAAGAAGCTAAAGGCGAACTCGAGGCGTTGACAAGGATCGGTAGTGCAGCGTCCAGCGGGCTTCGAGCTGGACAGGCTGGATCCAGCTACAGTTGGCGAAATCGCGCCCGCATCCTACATCGGTGATAAACGCTCCAAAACAGCGTTGGGACACATAACAATTCATACTTGATATCCGAATCACTTCGGTGGATGTATTCCCTGAGAGAGGAGTAATTCTATGAGCAGTGGTGATAGACCCATAGATTTTGATGGGAGCTCCAAACTACAGCAGTTGTATAGTCAAAAAGAAAAGACGACCTCCGGACCCTAAAGTTGACGTCAATTTTAACTTATATTCCGGCAACCAATTGACTCTCGCCGAACATACACAACATTTTATCTAACTGCTCGGACTGTCTGAAGAGTGTCTACAACTACTCCCCTACAACCGCCTAGTGTGTCATTCTTGAATCAAATTCATCCTCGCTCAGCCTGGATTTTATTGACTACCAGAAAGAAAAGCAGAACCAACACCAACGAACGCGCGAATCGTCATGGCTGCCGCCGCCAAAGCCCACTTCGGCCCTTCTCCGGACTACATCTCAAAGCATCGGGTGAGTACTCATGTATTTATATACCTACTGTATGAAGTCAATCGACACTGTCTTTCGCCATTCTCACCCTCCTTCCGTACATGTATGTATATGGCGTGTTGCATTGTCCACCCTCAGATAGCGAAAACGAGGGTGACCGTGTTTCGGAATTCGGCATCCGGAATCCTAGGTACCAGGAAAAGACGGCAGGAAGCCCATTGAACTCTCCTCTTCAGCATGGGGATAATCCGTTCTTCTTTGTCCCCGTTCCTTCTGGAATGAATCACCTCTGCCATAGTACTATCCAAGCCATGCTCATGCCCCTGCTATCCCACACATCATCAAGCGAAAGAAAAGACAGTCAAATACACCCGAGCCAGCCGATCTTCAACAATGTTCTGTTGGTTAACTGCCGTCCGGGTTGAATTGACTTATGTGACTCGGACTCTTGCCGACTCAAACCTAACTATGTCTATCTAGTCCCAATACCCACAATCACGCACCATCCTCGTAACCGGCGCAACAGCAGGCATCGGCCTCGCAATCGCCGATTTTTTGCTCTCCTCGCCGGCTCAGCACTTACTGATTCTAACCGGCCGCAAGACCGATGTTCTCGACGACCTCCGCTCCAAGAATCCAGGCCGAGTCATCGCCAAACCAGGCGACATGGACGATCTAGCTTACGTCAAGAACATCCTAAGTGATGTCGAATTGGACGGGAAGTTGGATGGATTAGTTCTCAATCATGGCACGCTGGGCACGTGTGTCAGGATCGCGGAGATGGATGTGGAGGATTGGGAGCGGACGTTTCGGATTAATGTGTCGAGTTGTGTGGCGCTGGTAAGTTCAAACATCAAGTCCAAGTCTACTGTCACATTATCCAGTCCCAGTCCATGCTGATGGTCTACCACGCACTCAGATCCAATCCAGCCTCCCCCTCCTACGGGCTGCAAAAGGTCGAATCGTCTTCACCTCATCCGGCGCCGCCAACACAGGCTATACATCGTGGGGCGCCTACGGGGCGTCCAAGGCGGCAATGAACCATCTGGCCATGACATTGAAGAATGAAGAACCCGACATCACGTCCGTCTCGATCCGCCCGGGCATGGTCGACACGGCCATGCAAGGTGACATTCGTGACAAGTATCTCCAGAACATGGACGAGAAGGACCGTGGCAAATTTGCGAATGCGAAGAAGGAGGGTAAGCTGTTGCCGCCTGAGAAGCCGGGCCATGTCATTGCGGAGTTGGCTCTCAGGGCGGAGAAAGAGCTTTCGGGCTTGTTTTTGAGGTAAGTGAGAATGATGAATCTCCCATCAGTCCTCGTGAAATGTTTACAGGTACTAATGATTGCGGCAATACTGTAGTTGGGATGATGCCAAGTTGGCGGACTATCGGTCATGAAAGAATCGAAACGGTACAAGAATAGCCGGCGAGAAAAAGCAAAAGGCATAGAAAAACCACCAGGACACAGGCAAACAATCCTTGATTTCTCCGTCGGCAGCAACGCACGGTATCATTATATATATATTTATATAGAGAAAGAGAGAATTTTCAAGACTCGGAGCTCGTAGGCGTCTCCCAAAGCGAATGCGACCGCAAAAAATATTTATTGCGACACCAGTATATATTTTGTATATACATGACCTGGCAGAAGGTCAGCGACAATTCTACCATGTAACCCATAGACAAGCAGACAATAAATGCTGAACTCAGGCGAAAGATGAAAAATGAATACACAGACTTAAGCATCAGACCCGGAAGGCCTTCATACTTAGCATGGAAAGAGTGGTTGTGTTCATCATGAAAGGGAAACAAAATGGAATTGATCAAAAGGACTTACCAATACAATGGTCAGGGTCGAGAAACTGAAACCAGAAAAAGAACAAATACTGCCGGTCTAAGAGTCAGACAAACCCAGCGATACGAGTACTGCATGACGAAAAAACAAAAAGCTCTTGGTGTGCAAAAGTTTGGCATTTCAGGTAATCGAACCAAGTGATTCCTCATGGTGAATCGGAATTTGATAGTACATATGTGTTTGGTCATCATGTAAAGGGGTTGCTGTATGCTGTATTTGTGCAAGGAAGTTGACTAACCTTGCGCTGACCAAAAGCATGAGGAGCGGCACTGGCAGCTGTTGACGATTACTTGCAGGCTCCTATCGCAACACATGTTAGAAATTGCCACCAAATTGAACTGGCCGGAATGATTGCGATGCATGTTTGAGGTAGGTATTTCAATCAGAAAGTCCTGTTTGGCTTGGAGAGGTAAATCACCACGGTTTGGTAAGATAGGGGCGACACGAATGTTCATCATGTGAATAGGTAAAACAGAAAGAACAAGGCTGTGGATGACTTACCAGAATATTGAATGCCCATCATGACTCGCTCGCTGTAAAAAACACGTCGCAAGTGCCTTGAGTTAGTTCAGAGTCAAATGAAAGACTGGTCCTCGACTACGGGATATCGCTCGAAACGCGATCAACACGACAAGCAGGCGATCCCGTATTGTAGTACGACAACCGACAGTTTGCGAACATGAGACACATTACAGCTCCTGAGTGGAGCGCCAGCCACCGCGGTTGTTGATGAATCGTTGACAACAAGGACGAATTGATAAGTTGAGAGAACGAAAAACGAAACTTGAACTTTGAAGGAGATCCAGTGCCAAGGCCTGGAAAATCTGACCTGCGAGAGAACAACCTGCCACGTGACCTGCGACTATTCCTCTTCTGGCGCTTCATTTGAGCTTCTCAGGCTGGGACCCGCGTTTCATCACTGGAAGTGACAGCAGTGACACGTCAAATCATAGCCAACCACTGTAATTGCTGCGAGTAGTAGTACAACGTATATATCTCCGTTCTTTCGTCGTAGATCAGCCTCCATGGCCTAGGATAATGACAGCCTACATACTGCTCTTCCCTCCCACACGAAGCACATAACCCTACCCAGGTCAGCAACCTCATCTATCAATCATGTCAGACAAGGAGTTTGGCGGTACGTATTCATCCTGCGCAGCCCCCCATACACATCGCGCCCGCGCCCTTCCAACAATAACACTGACATAAACGGTGTTCCCTGCTCTAGGCAACGACGACCTCTCGCTCCCTAAAGCGACAGTCCAAAAAATCATCTCAGAGATCCTGCCTCAGCTACCCCACGACCCAGCGACACCGGGCGGGAAAGATGGCGGCGAGATGACGTTCACGCGTCCGGCGCGCGATCTATTGATCTCATGTTCGTTGGAGTTTCTGCGCATGCTGTCGTCCGAGTCGAATGACATTTCGGAGCGAGAGTCCAAAAAGACCATCAGCGTGGAACATGTGGAGCAGGCGCTCACGGACCTGGGCTTCGGAAGCTACATCGAGGGATGTCGCGGAGTGGTCGGTGAGTGGCAGGAGGTGCAGAAGAAACGAGTCGGGCGCGGCGAAAAGATGCGCAACTTTGGCGGCTTCGATAAGATGGGCGAGGAGGAGTTGAGGAAGATGCAGGAGGCTCTTCTGGGCGAAGCCCGTGGGAGAATGGAGGGGGGCCAACCTGAGACGCAGGGCGAATAAAAAGAAACTAAAGTCACAAACGAGAAACAAAACATCCCATGTACCGTGCATGGGTCGGATTACATCATGGAGATGCCAACACCAACACCACTGGGTGCTCTGCTTCTTGGGATAGATCTGGAAGACCTGGTCAACCGCCTTCCATAGTCGGTCCGCCGGAGGGAGAACAAGAAATGGGACGAGACGGTCCAACTTGATGCTGCTGAGCAGCACTCAGCACCAACACAGACATCTCTGAAGGTCTCAGCCCTTCGCGCTGTACCGCGCCCGGTGTCCATGTCCCCCCGTCAGATCTGAAGAAACACTCCCACCCAGGGATACAGTGGCAGGCACTGGCCCGCGACTACGAGCACCGGGCATTGCGCGCGCGCCTTGGCTTCATGTTTTCGGAACTTGAATCTTGCAATACATCGAGCGAGCCCTTAACATCTGTCCGGAGAATCAGAAAATCAAGCAGGCCAGATTCTCGACCCAGACCCATCAGGCCTATTGACATGCGAAGAGGAGACGCCGCCCCTATTACTAGTACACAAGCACATAACAAATGGAGGTCCGTTTCAGGTCCACGAACAAGGGGCAGATATTGGACCAGGCTCGGTTTGCGGTTTACTCGGCAATGAGGCAGACCATGGGGAGGATATATTCTAACCACCCAGAGTCTGGCTCGAGGCTCAATCGTGGTTCAAGGTGCACTACTGGTACTGCATGTTTTGATATAGGAAAAATGCCTGCCACACCAAGCTGCCCGTCGGCTACGGCACCACCAACAAACCCGGCGGATACCGAATAAATGGAGATGCTGTACGTAGAAGTCCACGCAGACACAGCTTGCGCTTGTGTTGCGCGCACGTCAAAGCCCGTCGATTATTCATGTATTATTAATTCCATTACAGTACTAGTAGGTGTTGTCTGCCACCTGATCTTCATCTTCCCATCGCTGGGCATCGCGGCCCCATTCGCTTTCCCTTCAGGGTTCCCCGATATTAAAGTAGCGTTCAGGTCAGGTCAGGTCCATCCCATCTTATTTCCTGCCTCTGCATACCTCGCGAGACGGCCGAGCTTCAGCAACATATCCATGTCTAGAACCTGGTCTCTAGTCCTTAGAATACTTCCGCCCAAATCCCTCTTTGTTTCCGTGCTGTTGTCATCAGGAAGACCATCGACAATAATACTCCACTCTGCAACCGTGGCTCCACTGCCGGACATATTGGATGCGGACACGGTTCCATTTTCGAGACTTCCCCAGATTTGCAGGGTGGCATAGCGCGCGGTATAGACTTCTTGACTAGCAGAAACGTTGTACGTGGTGATATTGGACTCCATGGGACCAATTTCGAAAATCTCCGTGGCATTGTACGCTTCGGCGATACGCACGCGCTGATTGCTGGCAACCTCGACGACACCTTTCGAGGTATTGGCGCTCACGGCACTCGGGCTGTCTAGGGTTTGGTTGTGGAATAGGACAGTATAATTCCACGGCGGGGCCTGAGCCCAGTCGAAGACCATTCCGGTCACGCGGTATCCCACGGGCAATTGGACAGTAACGCTGGCAGTCTTATTGGCCAGTGCAGGCTGCCATTTCGTGCTTGCGGCGCCGTCGACGGCGGCGATGGGGAATTGGCCGGGCAAATACTCGTCGGGCGAGGTGACGGGCAGACATTGGGCAACGTTGCCTGCGGTGGTCTTGATCTGGCCAATACGCCGGTTGGTGATGGTGATACTGCCGTTGAGAGGAAGACTATAGTTTGCCAGCGGCGGGTTGCCGATGGGACCGACGTGAACAGGGATAGGGTTGGTCGCGTACGTGGCGTTGGGGACGGCGCCTTCGTCGGGAACGAGACTGCCGTTGCGGCTGAGAATCGTGTGCGTCTGGTTGGAAAATGCCGAGATGGGCCATCCATGCCAGTAAAAAGTGCGGTACCGAATCTGCGGGATCTGAGGTGGCAACGATGGGTCGACGTGTAGAACATAATCCGGAAGATACCGAAGGCCCAGGTAGCCGAAAAGTACCACTTGGTGTGCGCCGCCGTGGCCCGTCAGGAACGGGTATGCAGGGTGTGTCCCGCCGTTGGCGTTCCAGTTGTCCACCAGCTGCTCGGATAGCTGGTACCATGGTGCCCGCGCATATGGCTGGGTCGAGTATTGCTGGTATGTGTAGCTGGAGCAACCGGACGGCGAGACCTGGTTCGCAATGATGGCGAACATGGCGTACGTCATGGCAGGGCCGTTGATGGACTGCTTGCCTGCGTAGAAGTCTAAATCGCTGAGTGATCGCTCGGCAGTGTAGTTGTATCGTGTGAATGAAAGCGGGTATGTGTTGAGGATCACGTCCGCTTGCTTGACCGAGGTACTGCCGTTCATGCCGGGATATTCTAGCAGAATGTCCGCCTCGTTGTCGCGAGCGATGTACATGTTTGCCGCCTGTTCTTCCCATGTCGCGTTGGGTGTCCCGTTGAACATGGCTCGGAATAGATTGGCATTGGTCAAGTGAGTTGAAATCAACGCCATTGTGTATCCTCCGTTGTCGATGTGATTTGCATACTCATCAGGATCGGTCATGTTTGTGAGCCACCATGTCGAACCGTTCTTCTCCAGCAACTCCGAAAACAGCGTGGCGATGGAATCATACACCGGAAGCAGTTGATCGCGGAAATATGACGTGTTTCCTGACGAAGCCCACTGGTTGATCAATTCCAGACCAATGTCGCCATTAAGATGGTATTGGTAGTCGAAACAAGGCCCCGTCCCAGTACAGTTTCCGTACCGTCCACTGGTCCATGGATAGATGGCCGCATTGGAGGAAAAGTTGGTGTGGTTCTTCGAAGATTGATACGCCGTCTTCACATTGCGAAGCGCCTGTCCATACCGCTCCACACGGTAATTGGAGATGATTCTCGCAGCTGACGGGAAAGCCGCCACGAGGCCGGGTTGCATCCAGATATCGGCGTCCCAGAAAATCAGGCCGGCATAGGAATCCGAGCCCAGCCCGCCAACAGAGATGCTGTGGCTGTTGATCGAGGCATTACCAGTTGCTGCAATCGCGCTGTCCGACACTGTATTCTGAAGGAGTTGGTATGGGTTTGCTACCGCTGTGATGGCGGTTTCAATAATGTACGGATCATCTGGCAAGGATCCGTTCTGGGGGAACGAGAAATCATCCACTGATTCGGCAGGAAACTCTTTTGCCCACTCTTGAACGTGGGTCTGCAACATTGCGCTGTACCCTGCTTGCCGTGCAGAAAGAGCTGCTTCCCTCGCAACGTCCTTTGGACCAGCGAACCCGTCGCTCGAGGCAATGCCGACGAATTTCGTGAATGTAGCAACCTTCCCGGCCTCAAGGGTGACGTGTAAACCGGTGGCAACGGAAGACTGATTGTTTCCGACGTACGGTCGATCCCAGGTGGCTTGCTCGGTCGAGCGAACGGTTGCTCCAGCAGAGGACAGGCCGGCGTAGACAAATGCGGTAACATTCTGGACTCCGTCAGGCTGGACAGAGGTGAAAATGATTCCACCGTCGGTTCCTTTGTCACCCGGAGTCGTTCGTACAGCGCAATCTCCATTTAGGACATTAGCAATTGTCATGTTGGTAGTATTCATCGCGGTGATGTTCATGATGACTGCGGCCTGGTTGACATGGAGTTTATGTGCGAACATTTGGTAAGACACATTGAACGAACCGTTGGCCCCCGGAGACCAGGTGAAAGACCAGTCCATCAGACCTCTTTTCATGTCCAGACTGGATCTGAAGTTGCTGATGGTTGAGCTGTTCGTCGATGCGGCCAAATAATCGTTCCCTCCCAGATCCGCAATGATGCCGGACCAGTGAGGGATACCGCTGATGACACTGTCCCATCCATATTGATAAAGCCATTCAAAATTGGTTCCATTAGTTCTGGGCTGCGAGTCCCAAAAGCCTCCAATCGTGGCGAATGATTGTCGTCTGCTGAATAGAGGCCAACCATTGATCATATCCCCGTCTTCTATGGTGTCGACCTCAAAGAATGGCCCAAGAGATGCAACATTGATGCCATGGTAACCGTTGGCAACTGTGGCCCGAGATTGATAGTGACCCTGATCAAGGTTGGTCGTGGTCAGGATCCAGTGGGCATTGTCCCAGGTGACACCATCGAACCGTGTATTGTACACGGACGAAGCGTTCCCAGACTGAGCCCATGTTGCGGAAGTGAGGAACCCAAGACTGAGAAGCCCAAACAGTAACATGTTGTTTGCGCCAGTCATCCTGAGTGACTCGTCAGCTAACGTGCTCTTAGGCTTGCGCAGCCTTGTGCAACCCTTCAGTTCAATACGCCGCACTTGAGAAGGTATCCTAGGCTATAGACGTACACAAACCTGAGCGGTGATTGCAGTTGGATGTACCAGATGAGTCTCCCAGTGATTCGGCCTAGTCAGAGAAGTTTCGGCTGACCCTGAAGTGACTGGCTGACAGAATGGTGGCTGCCAGTCTTCGATCTGCCAACATACGGAATATATCTAAGTTCACAAGATCTCCGTCAACCTTCTTTTTGAGCTCAGCCTCCTGCAAGGCACCCCGCGGCAGACCGGACAAACTTTTCGCACAAGTTACATCGAGGTCCCTGGGCCAAGCTCGACTTGGACAGCTCATTGTCACTGTTGCCCAGGGTCAAGCGAGTGACCGGCCGCGCTCATAGGCTCGAGGAGCTTGCGTCCTCCGCCCGCCGAAGGCGGGAGAGACGTTGGCGGGCAGGCGATGCGACGTCATTGCGGAGGATTCGATGAGGCGTCGATCGAAAGTGACTTGATTGACGGAATCGCGGCGTTCGGTGGCTTTCGATAGGACAAAGCAGAGACTGTGGGGAGAGAAAATGGAGAGATGGGGATCAGACACGGGTCCGGGGGAGCTCGAGCTGTGATTACACGGAGGACTTGTCCTATTTCAACGGGGCCTGGGGCCTCGTCAGACTATATACTTTCTAGGGGTTATACGATAGCGTACGACGCTAGTCGAGACCGAAAGACGATCCTCGACGTCTTTATAATACTTAGTACGTAGAGTATCTATTTTATTATATTCTCCTCTATCTAGACTATTAAATAGTCTTATTCGTCGTCGAAGAACGTTAAGTACCTTTATTAGCCTTATAGTAAAGAATAGAATAGTATTTCTATATTCTAAATACTTCGTTTCCTAAGTAGTCCTATCGTTAGAATAAATATCTATAGTATCTATATCTTCGATATCGATCGAGATATATAGAGCGAGTATATATCTCTTATCTTTAGCTATAGAAGTAGTATATACGCCTAGAATAGTAAAGCTAAATAAATCGAGAGTAAATTAAGATCGTTAAAACGGTAAGTAAAGAGAGTTTATACGCGTAATAGTACTCGCTATTACTCTTCGAAGCTAACTCGGGATTAATCCGACGAGATTTAGAGAAGTATAAGTAGACGTCTTTTACTTCTTTTCTTCTTACTTTCTTTTATATCTCTTTCTAGTCGTTTATATTTCTAAGCTCTAAGTCTTTTATCGATTAAAGCTAAATCTTCTATAATTACTATTATAATTATTATATTATCTAGATAAGTTAGAATATCGACTAGATTATAAGTTCTAAATACTTAATACTATTAATAAGTTAAGAAGATAGTTAAAGATCTACTAGTAACTAAGATAACGAAGACGACTTCTTTCGTAAATATACTATACTATATCGAATAGTATAATTACTAATTTATTTCTAGATTAATAATAATATTTATAGTATTAAGTCTAGCGATATAGTAGTTAATTCTATTATCTAGGCGAAATAGTACTAGAAGTAGTTCTTTTTCCCTAATAATAGCTTATTAGTTTAGCTATATAGCCGTATTTCTCGAAGATCTATCGAATTTTACGATTAGAGAGATATTACTAATATATATATTAGGAATACCCTTATAGAGTATATAGTAAATATCGTAAATAATCTACGTTACGAAATATATCTTTATATAGTTAAACTAGACTTATATCGAGAGCTAGTATTTCTAAAGTATATTTCGATATTTATCTTTAATACGTCTATTTCTACGAATTTAATATATCTTTTCGGCGAAAAATATATAATCTATACTATTCGCGAAGTTAATTATTCTTTATCTAGTAATCGAGATATAAGTAGCGAAGCTTCTAGTCGTCGTTAATCTACTATATCGATATTAACGCCTATTTAAACGCGTAGTACTAAGAAATATTATACTTAATTCCCTAAAATATAGAAAGAAGATCTAGTAGAAGATATAAGAGAAATATATTTTAGTAAGAAAATAAGTAGTCTATATATAATTAATAAGACTAGAGAGATAAATAGTCGTATAGCTATCGAGATTAAAGATCTAGAGAATAGATTCGACTTCGTATTACCGCTATAGATAGATATAGAAGATCGACGTTAAAAGGTATTAATCGCTATTTAGAAGATAATATAGTAGACTTTAGATTTATATTATATACCGAAAACTATTAAAGTTATTTATAAAATTAATAAATCTAATATACGTATAGAGTAATATTCTCTACTAATATTAACTTAATAAAGTTATCGTTCTATAATATTTATATCTTTAGTAAGAATAGAAGTTATTAAGACTAGTCTAGAATCGAAAGAATACGACTATATAGCTAGTAAGCTACTACTAAGATATCGTTAGTATATTATTAAATTTTCTTCTAAGCTATTATTATAAATACGAAGTTTATCTAGATATATATCGGAAATATATTATTATACTAAAGAGGCTATATAATATATACCTATATCTCCTAAGCTAGTATATAATTCTAAGTATAGTTAGATTATAATATAGTAATAATTCGTACTAGTCTTGTCTTCTATAGATTTATTAATATAGTCTATATAAGACTATATATTGACTTATCTAACTCTAGAACGTTTATCTTTTTATTATTTAGTATATAAATAGTCTACTACTTCTACTTATTCTATATATAATATTTATCTACTATCTACCTATATATAGTAATCGAGCCCTACTTCTAGTTTAGGTCTTTTAGGGTATTCTTACTATAAAACGACGACGTTAATAGAAGTACTACTACTAGGATCGGCTTTAATAATATTATAATAAGAAGGCCGCGAAGTATTACTATTTTCTTATACTACTATAATAGTAGACGATACTCTATAAATAGTCTATTTTATAAATAAATCTTTTAGTATAATATAACGAGTAGAGAAGTATAAGCGAGGTTCTTCTACGTCTACTATATAAGATAATTTACTATAATTTATTAGTTATTTTTAGGTTTTTTAATATATCTAGAGTACTTCGTAGAATATCCTAATAATATATAGTTAAGAATCGAGATCTAGTCTACGCTCTAGTTTCTATAGATTATCTATAGAGAATACTATTATTATTAGATTATTTAGTCTTATACTATCTTTAGTCTAGAATTAGATCTTAATAAGCGTCCTTTAACGTATTATTAACGAAGAACTAAAGACTTAACTATATTATAATTAGTATTTTAGACTACTAATAAAGATAATAAATTATCTTATCTCTACTTCTTACGAGATTTCGAGTACTCTTAAGGAACGAGATTCCCCTCGAGTATCGGAAGGATTATTCTAGTAGAACTAGAAAATATCGTAGATATACTTTCTATAATATTAGCGAGTATCGAGAAGAATAAAGTAGATATATTCTAGTTTATAAGATTCTATAGCCTTATATCTTTAGATTAATTTAGTCTATTAATAGAGTATAGTTTCTTCTTACTTAAGATAGCTTTAGCTAACTTATTATAGCTATTCTCTATATAATTTATATAAGATAAGTCTACTATATTATTTATATACTCTATAATATCGATAAAATAGATCTCGATATCTATCGATATAGATTCGAGTAGCTTAATATAGAATAAAATAGAGATATCTTATATAACGGTATCTTAGTACGGTCTAATAGAATTACTCTTATTTCTTAAGATCTCTTATTTATTCTAAATATAGTTTTCCGTTCTTTTCTAGGATATTAAAGGAATTTCGAGAGGACTAAAAGTCTTTTCGTATCCTATTCTTCGTATATCGAGAGAGTTAGATTATATTAGTCTATTACTACTTCTCTATTTCTATCTAATCTAGGCGTATAAAGAAATAATCTTTATTCTAGCTATTCTATTTAATATTCTCGAAGTATTAATATCTTCGTTACTCTTTCTAGCGATAAGATATTATCTACTTAAAGGCGGAGTAATCTACTCTAGAGAATTAGAAACGAGAGCTACTCTAATTATAGTTTATTTCTTATAGACTATTATAGCCTTCTCTATCGATATCGCGCTATAGAATATTAGCTTCTATTCTTTATTTCGCTAATATCTATTTACTAGCGTTACTTTAACTTTATAGTTCTCTCTTATTTTACTTAAACTATCTTCTAATTATTCTTACGATATTTATTATTACTTTAATATTATTAATAGCTTATAGTATATTAAGGAATTAGACTTATTACTAAGTATCTAAAGTACTTTATCCGAAGGCTTCGTTATACTATCTCTAACTATTTAGAGTCGTATTTACTATACTCTAGTAAATAATTAGATTATCTACTTATCTAAATCTATTAAATAATATTATATTAGACGGCTTTTATAAATAAATAGACGTAAGACCTTCTAGTCTATCGTTTCTAATATATATATACTAAACTATAGCTTCTTTAGAATCTAAAAGAGTCCGAAGTAGTTAGATTTAAATTTCTACTTTAATATATTATTTAGAAGAATAAAATCGTCTTCTTTAAGTAAAAGATATAGCGTTTCTAAATATATTAATCGTAGTTTTTAAGAGTAGAGTTCTCTCTCGATTAGTAGCTTATTTACTTTATAATATATAGTATATAGCTATTCTAGTCTTAAGGTAAAGTCGATATTAAGGTTTAATAAATTGAATTCTTATTAATCGCCTATTAATTAAGATTTAAGTCTATAGACGAGCTTATATAAACTTATTCTAATTACTATATAAATTCTAATACGGATTACGAATAATATTAATAGAAGATACTTATTTTATAAAAGAATTTATTATCTAATAAGTTACTTTAT